ATGCTGAACACAGGAGCTGCCCCCTGGTGGTCAATGCGCTCCCACAGTGGGAGTGCTGCTTAGCCAGAAGCTGGGCTCACAGCTGGTGAGTGCAACTGTGGAGGCGGGAGCCTCTCCTGCCTTCGTGGCAGCACTACCCAACAGCGGCAGTGGGAGGCGCAGTGGGGCCGGGATGAGCGGAAGTGGCGTGGTGCCTGGCCTGGGCTCAAGCTCCTCCCCGCCATCTGCTGCTTCATGTACTGCTACATCCCCTCAGGGGTCCCGGATTGTGAGAGGGTGCAGGCCAGGCTGAGGGACCCCACTGGTACACGAATCCGTGCACCAGGCCTCTAGTTAAATAATAATGGCACTGCCATCTTTTTAGTCACCCAAGCCAGGGACTCTGGGTGACATTCTAGACTCCTCTTTTTCCCTTAGCCCCATATTAAATCCAGCACCTGGCCTAGCTGATTTCACCTCCTACATATCTCTCATCTGTGCAGTTTCAATAGCATCCTAAATGATGTCCCTGACAATCATCTTGTTCATCTTTCTCTCTGTTTGTGGAAGGACAAATGCCAGACTTCTGGATCTTGCCTATCAGTCTGTGAATTCTATTTCCAGATGCTGAACACAGGAGCTGCCCCCTGGTGGTCAATGCGCTCCCACAGTGGGAGTGCTGCTTAGCCAGAAGCTGGGCTCACAGCTGGTGAGTGCAACTGTGGAGGCGGGAGCCTCTCCTGCCTTCGTGGCAGCACTACCCAACAGCGGCAGTGGGAGGCGCAGTGGGGCCGGGATGAGCGGAAGTGGCGTGGTGCCTGGCCTGGGCTCAAGCTCCTCCCCGCCATCTGCTGCTTCATGTACTGCTACATCCCCTCAGGGGTCCCGGATTGTGAGAGGGTGCAGGCCAGGCTGAGGGACCCCACTGGTACACGAATCCGTGCACCAGGCCTCTAGTTAAATAATAATGGCACTGCCATCTTTTTAGTCACCCAAGCCAGGGACTCTGGGTGACATTCTAGACTCCTCTTTTTCCCTTAGCCCCATATTAAATCCAGCACCTGGCCTAGCTGATTTCACCTCCTACATATCTCTCATCTGTGCAGTTTCAATAGCATCCTAAATGATGTCCCTGACAATCATCTTGTTCATCTTTCTCTCTGTTTGTGGAAGGACAAATGCCAGACTTCTGGATCTTGCCTATCAGTCTGTGAATTCTATTTCTGATCGCATCCTCACATACCCTGGATAGGGGCCACTCACAAGTCCACATGCTGTCTCACATCTCTGTACCTTTATATTTGGGGGCCTCCCAGCTTGAGCTATTGTTCTTTTCCTTGTCCACCTGAAACACTGATCATCCTTTAAGACCCAGGTTAAGCATCCTCTCTTTCCTGAAACCTGCTTTGCTCCCCATGCCCACTTTCCCAATCCTTCGGATAATACTGAACATTTCCTGGTGGTTGCTTTCATTATACTTTTATTTTATTCCTTATCATAATGTTTCTGCCTATTTCCCCTTGAATGAAGGGCAAGGACCATGTTGAACCCATTGCTGTACAGTGCTTGGCAACAAGGCTGCCATGTACTACTGTTGTTCAGGTTGTGCCCTGAGGCAACCAGCAGTGGCTGAGATCCGGCCTTTATTTGCCAAGCTCTGCACCCGGACATGGGGCAACCTGCCCAGAGGAAGTGGTGCCTTATTCTAAGGCACATAAAGCAGCTGTATAGGATAGCAGTGGCTCTGCCTGTCACTTAGTAAGGGTTCTGTCCTAATGTTACTGTCCTTTCTCTCTGTGCCTTCTTTGCTCCTCCATCAGCTAATGCCACTGCTCTTGGGAGTGTGATTGAGTGTCATCCTAGTCTTCAGACTCTAGACTCCTCTGGTGCCATGAGGGCATGGAGGCCTCAAGGGGCATCCTTCCTGGGAGGAGAGTTCCCCTTGGCTCCTCTTCTGTAGAGATTCTGGTTTGGTTCTGGGGTGAGGGTGGAGTTCTTTGCTAAAACTAAACACAATACATTACAGGCATTACAGGCTCTTATGAATTAAGTAGCACCTATGAATGTAAAGCCTATACAACTCATGGGGCTCTTCTTGTGAGGGATAGCAAACACAAGCAGGAGCCCACTTTCCTCCCTTTCCCTGACTGACAGACATTGCCAATCAACTACACTGTCACATGCGGATGTCCCAGAGTCCTACACAGAAGGGCACTAATTATTGGAATTGGCACTTAAAGCAAAACATTTCTTATCTTCAATCAAACCCAACTCCTTATTTTATGAATGAAAGTGAGAACCCCTATCCTCCATGACCCTCATTCCTTAACTCTGTCCCTTCATCTCTAGTTAAACTTGGCCTGGGATGGTTCTCACTTACCATTTTATAAACACTTTTAAAAAATATATATATTTTAATGATTTTTTACAGAGAGGAAGGAAGAGAGATAAAGAGTTAGAAACATCGATCAGCCGCCTCCTGCACATCTCCTACTGGGGATGTGCCTGCGACCCAGGTACCTGCCCTTGACCGGAATCAAACCCGGGACCCTTCAGTCTGCAGGCCAACGCTCTATCCACTGAGCCAAACTAGTTTCAGCTTATAAACACTTTTGACTGGCCCCTTTCCTGGGAGTCTTTCCTCAGCAGTCCCGTTCCTTAGAATCAAGCTCTAGACACCTTAGCACTAAGAACCATAATGTATTTCACTTCAGAGAGCTGCTTCAGTTTCCTCACTCATTAGGTGAAGAATTGAGATCTAGAGATTGAAGAGAAGTGACCTGTCTGAGATCTCAGGGCAACTTAAGACCGAGCTGAGGCAAGTCCAAATATTCCAACTATTAGGCTATGGCTCTCTCCACTATACCTCTTTGTGGCTGGTGCTCAATTTTTATTAATACTTACTTCATGGAATGAGTCATAGACTTTGAAGTTAGAAAGAATCTTATACAGTATCTTTTCCAAACTTCCTCAGAAGAGAGAAGTTCCTTTCTCTGTAATTCATTTTTATGTGAGTGTATTAAAATCTAGAGAGTTTAGGAGGCAGGAGATGGGTTTGGTGGAGAAACACGGAATCTCTACCATTTGCTGCTCATCCACTACCTGACTGAATGAGTTGCTCTCACTTTGTGGACCAAACCCTTGCCCTGGAAGTATCACGCATTAACTGACTAGTTGATTTGGGTCTCTAGGCTCTCCCTCTCAAGGGACTGCTTCCTTTAAGCTTTAGGAGACACGCAGTCATCCACAAGAAATAATAAAGGAATAGAGCAAGACCTACAAGCTAGAGAGATATTTTTCCTCCATCTCTTCTTTCTAACCTTTTTATTTGGCTGCTACAAATAAAACAGATCAGAAACAAAAACAGACTTGCTGAATACCTTTTATCCTAAACACAAATGTAGTGAACTCATGGTTAGACTTCTGGGAACTATTTTTAAAATTTGATCCCAATTTTTAGATTGTTCTTATAAATGGTTGACTTGTCTAGTGGATGGATGAGAGAATGGAACTGATAAGCCTTAGAAGATTATCCTGTGATGTTTTATATGACAGAAAGATGCACTTTAGCCTCATTGGGCAACAGGTCAAACCCTTTACCAAATAGTTGGTCTACTGAAGTATCTTTGCCCTACTTCTTTCTCAAATGCATCTGTCATTACGTAAATCCTGAAGTCTACCCAAGTGAATGCGCTGGCTGAGCTCTTGAGACAAAACACTGGTATCACAAATTGGGCACCTTGTCAGTATCAACATAGGAGTGGCTACTATTTTGATAACCAGTTATCAAGGGCTTAAGAACTCAACTTCTTTCATTCTCTAGCATTCTCTAGCCTGTTCTGTTATCTCCATTTTCTTGATGAACTCCAACTTACCTGTTACCTCCTCCTTTTGAATTTCTCCCTGAGGTCCTGGGATGGAGTTAAACTCCTTTGATGCCATCACAGAACTTTTTACATAACTCTAACATGTTATCTTTGAAATCTTTGAAGCTACTCTTTTGTTTGTAGAACTTTCCCCCACTAGGCTGAATTTATCACTAGAGTCCATGGTTTAGTCACCTTTGTAACTCCAGTACATAGTGAAGTGCCTGGTACTAAGTCAGCACTGAAAAAATAGTGTTTGAATGATGCATGAATGAATAAGTGAGTGAAAGAGTGGTCTGATACAAATGGTCTTTCAATCCCTTTCATCTATCTGTTCTATGATCGTAGTTATTATTACTGATACTCAGCACCGTGCAGTAAGGAAAGAGAAAGGAGGGAGGCAAGCTCATCCTACAGGATGTTTCTCTCCCCCTTGGAGACTGCATAACTGTAAATCACCTCCTTCTTTTTTTAAAGGAAATGTAGTCACTGACTGCACAGGTATGCTAACTCCTCATCCAGGTGAGTGAGCTCTAGTAGGCTAAGGTAAGAACATTTGGAAAACTGGATAAAGCATGATAAGAAAGTATTATCACTTAATATTACTACATATATTTTTTTTCTCTGTCAGAGAAATACAGAAAAGCACTGATTTATCCAAGGCATTGGTATACCATTTTTCTCTGAATATCTCTTCTACCCCATTGAGTAAAATATTTGAAGCCAGGACAGCTCAAGATCAAGTCTACTTATTTGCTTTCTTATTTTAGAGGCTGACTTGGGTAAAAGGGTGTGATTGATGAAAATCTTAGGGCTCTCCAGGGGAAAATAAAACTGTATACATTGAAAAAGCAGTCAAATAGCCCATAAACAAAGAACTCCTCTGGGTTCAAATACAAAGATACTCTTATTCTTTTTTATTTTATTTTTTAAAAATTAAATTAAAATTTTTCCATTGCCATTTTATCCCCTCTATGCCCTCTTCCACCTCTACCCCCCCTAAAGTGTTAATTCTTTCTTTTGCTTTTCTGGGCTGGAAAATCAAGGTCAAATGCAATAATGGGAGCAAGATTTCCATGCCGAATTTCACATGCTTCTTCCCTTGAGGGGTAGGGTAGAGAGGGAGAGCAACAAGCTCTAACGGAAGTTACGCACCTGAGGTCATCCTTGCAGCCCTTCTTGGAATCCCTCAACCCCTTCTTCTCTTGTGGTTGCCCCACCATGAAGACGGTGTCCCTGACGGTAGGGAAATCTTCCAGCAGGGCCCTCAGGCTATTGCAGTAGGCCATGATCTGACCCCGAAGAGCATAGTGAGACATGCGGTGGTTAAATCTGAAAAGTCAGAAGAGATGTCCAGAGGTGAGTCCTCTCTACAGAAGTTCCAGGATCTACTTTCCTAGACTATCTTTCAAAGAGAATAGAGCACCTCTGTCATGAAGAAATCTCTGTCTGGGTCAGATTGCTACTGCAGGAAGGCAAAGGCATGGGCCCCTTCAAAGCATCTCCTGTCCTTCACTTCTCATGCTCCTTCTTCCGTGTGTCAGAGGTCAGCTTGATTTGGTTTTATCTAATAGGATTGTGGCTCAAATAAAACAGACCACCTCATACCTTGGAGAATTTCTACATAATTCTGGTGTTTATTGAATTCAGAGTCAGAGAACTCAGCATGTGTCGTTCACATGTACTACATATCCTATACTTACTTCTGACAATATTCCACTATTACTTCTCTCTTGGTTTTCTCAATTTCATCCTGTAATAAAAGAAGATGATAGTTCTTCTATTAGACAGTTGGTTATAAACACTCTCCAAGCAAGTATCTATGTAGAGACTGAGAGCAAACTTAAAGCAGAAAAAGGCCACACTGTTGAGAAACTCTTCCTGAAGGTCAACTTATTGGGAAACACTCCTCCAGGGGTGTCTCCCATCCCCTACATTTTGCTGAGTGAGCGAAGAAGGCAAGGCCCTGACCACCCTGTACGGGGGCCATTTCTAAGGGTTATGTTTGCAGAAAGAAGTCTTAAGGGATGAGGTAATGCCTCCCTCCAGGAAAAAGAGCAGACTTTCTATAAAAGAGGTGAGTTCCTCCAAACTCAGTATTACTCAACTGTGACAAACACCACTGCATGCATCCGGGCTCCCATGTTGCTCCCGTGGCCCTTGGGGAGCCAAGGGAACTGACACAGACACAAAGCCCATGTTGCCTGCTCTGCTATGAGTAATAAAGTTATTTTGTCTCTTAACCAGGAGTCTTGTGTCTTCTGCCAGCCTCCACAAGACAGTCACAGGTTAATGTACCAGCTTGTAAATAGGCTAAAATCCCAGACTTCGGCAAAACTGACAATTTATTGCCTGAGCCCTTTCTAATCTGATCAGCATTGAATAATCCTATGAGCAGTTAATGAGTTATTACATTTTCCACTTGGTCAATATTTTTTTTAATATTATAGTAAAAAACTAATTTAATATCTCAGTGACTTATTAAGAGGAGTCCTTTCTCTCCATGATTGTTCAGTAGTAAACTTGAAATCTGGCCTCCCTCACATCCCAGTTGGATTAGGTAAATTTAGGTCTTTCGTTTTCAGTCACAGGTAGGGAAAAAGCCTAGAGACTGTAAATGTGTTTTATTTGAGCCATGATCCTATTAGAAAGATTGCCATTTCTTTCCCAAACATCGCTGCATTAACCTAATGATTTCCTCACCAAAAAATTAATAAATAATGAAATGATATTCACAAACTTAAGCAATACTTTTAACTGTTTAAAGACTTGAGCTTTATAAATATGTTTTGGAGAGATTGGGCCAGTATAAAACCCTTTAATAGGAACAAGGTGACCGTGCCTGAAAAAACATGATAACAGGTGATTAGATGGCAAGAATCTTTGTTCACCTTGTCTAAACACCCTAAGCACCGGCGGGTCTCTCAGGAACGGGCAAATGTTCCAGAGCGGGTGCTGAAACTAGTTTCATTTAGAAAGTGGCAGAACGAAATGTGACCTTGGGAAAATGCACATATTTTAAAAACTAGACTGCAGTTGGCTTGAATGGCTTCCTTCGTATTTCTTATTGAGCTCCCTTTTTCAGTTCTTTATAATATGTTTTCAATGGTCCTATCCAAATAGGCTGAATGCAACAGGCTCTAAGTTAAGAATTTTTATTTGCTGAAATGTAAAAGATGACATGAGAGCTTTAGGGAGCCCTTCTTACTATACTCACGAGGTTCATTGAGTCAGCCATGGTTTGTTTCCTGAGGAGGAAGGCATTCAGCATCATGTCCCGCAGTCCCACCTTTTCTAATTGAATAGACACGAAAGCCTCTGGAGCCCTGACAAGTGAACAGAGACATCTGAGCCCAAGGCAAGTGGACGTATAGCAAGGAGACAACTCGAGAACTCTCTGAAGGACAGGAACACCTGAGGCTGCACATTGGGCACTGCAGCAGGGGAGCTGGTGGCTCTGTCTTCATAGTCCCCGGCTGCTTCCTGTGCTGATGTGTCCTCTCCTCCTCGGGACTCACGTGCCTGAGGCATGCATTGGCAGTCCCGGACTTCACAGCCTGGCCCAGTGTTTGTACTATCCAGGTCCCTTTGTGTCCTCCAGGCCTCATGTGTAGGGGCACCTGGACTGAAAGGGCCTCCCAAGGGTCTGCTGGACCAGACACATTGATCGTAAATCTTCCATCCACACGCTGGGAGTGTGGATTTAGGGCACCCAAACTCTGGCCATATGTCAGATTAATGGCATCTTGAGAAGTAGAGTAGCTTTGCCTGTTGTTGTTGTTTTTTCCCCCCATTTTAAATTTACCAGAATTAAACTAGAATATCATTGGTATGCCCCAATGAAATACTGAGTATTTATAATTATTGCAGAATACAAATATCTCTCTCTGTCATGGTGAGAAGAAATCAAGACATAACAGGGCATCCCTGCCTCATAGACATATCTTTTTAGAGACTGTGTCTCTTTGACAACACACCATTCTATTATTCTAAGCAGACAAAACTCTTGTTAGAATAGTAAGGATAGGTCTGTACTTCTCCCTAAGAGACATGGAGAATTTGGAGAGGCCAATATTCTTTGTTCTTGTGTTCTACTCTTTTTAAAATTTGAAAAATGTAGAAAAAGGGAGGAAGGAGAGGGAGGGAAAAGCAAGAGAAGGGAGGAGAGGGAAGAAGAGAAGAGAAGAGAGGTTGTAATTAGGAACTGTTAACTCTCCTTCATAGACTGGAGTATATCAGAAGGAATGAGCCTTCTCACTGTTCATACACGGTTCAAAATCAAACACATGCTGGTCACTCTGGGAGTTTGGTCATTCTTCAGTCTCATAACACTCTGTTCTTAACTGACTTAAAAGAGAACACATTTATGTTAATCCTGCTTCCCTCTGGTACAGTACCTTTTGATAGTCTTGGATCTTTCTGAAGGAAGAATAAAGGTGTCTGGAAGTTTTGGAGTTGGGGCCAACAGCAATCTCTCTATGCCATTTACAATTCTGGAATTTCTTCTGGTTGGACCCATTCCACCATCATTTCTCAGATCTGAACGTATTTCCTAAAGTATTTCAAACCAAAGTGAATCCAAATTGTTGGATTTATATGTCCTGTGGTACTGGCTATAAAATTATCTCACAGCCACAACTGACCACAAATACATGTAAATGACTGGATACCTGAGGAAGGGGTGGGGATAGAGAGAAGGGGGAGGGGAAGAAAGTATAGAGAGTAAGGGAGGGAAGGGAAGGGAGCTACTATTTTGCACAATAAAGGGGTGAGGCACTAAGAGTAACTATTTCCAGAATAGAATGCAATCATCTAAAGTGCTCTGACAAAAATTCTCCATTCCACAGGTGGCTAGTGGAGTGCTGGATCAGAGGGGCCTCTCAAGAAATACTGCTGATGGGCTTCATGGCTGTGAGATCTGAGAACTTGTTTCAGGTGCCCATTCTGGTAGAGTCTAAGCAGATGGAGGTGGGCTATATATGCTGCCATGCACCATGCAATGATGAAGGAGGGAGAGGTGGAGGGAGGGCGGGGCGAGGAAAAGGAAGATGGAGAAAAAAAAGGGAAATCCATATTTTTCAATACTCCTATTGGTTATGGAGCTCTTGGGCACAATGAATGAAATTCTTTTACATTTTTCCTAAAATACTAACTAAAAAAAAATATTGTCTTCAAAGGAAAGACCACTTTTTCAAAGAAAGAAATAAGGAGTTCGCTTTATCTGAATTACTAAAGAAGAATGAGGCAAAAGGAAAAAATCCTGGGTAAAAATTTAATGTTTCCATCCTGACTTTTTGTGAAGGCCCTTGTGTTAGCCGGGTCTCTTGGAAGTGGTAGAACATCCAGTTCAGAAGACTTAAGAGGTCTAAGAAAGGCTGTGAGTGAGCTAAGAGGGAAGAAAACACAAGCTCTGCAATCAAGTCTCAGTGCTGACATGCTTGTGATCTTGGTTCTGTCCTTAACCTTTCAGAAAAAGGGGATGATATTCCCCATCGCATGGGGCTGTTGAGAGGATTCCACGAGCCCATGTATATTCATCACTTAGCTCACTGCCTTGCCTGGACCACAGAAGCTTCTGAATTGAACTGTTAACTCTCTGACTCCCCCGCCTGCCTTCAACAGCCCACCATGGCCATCTTTCATTTCTTTCTTTTTTATATATAAAATATTTTTATTGATTTCAGAGAGGAAGGGAGAGGGAGAGAGAGATAGAAACATCAATGATGAGAGAGAATCATTGATTGGCTGCCTCTTACGCACCCCACACTGGGGATCGAGCCTGCAACTTGGGCATGTGCCCTGACCAGGAATCAAACCGTGACCTCCTGGTTCATAGGTCGAAGCTCAACCACCGAGTCACACCCACCAGGCCCATCTACATTTCTATCCTCAATTGCTTCCTCTTTTCCAGCTCCTTCCTACAAATATATTTATATCTATTTTATTCTTAATTATCTTGCCCCCTCAAACTTCCTCCGAAATTCTGACCAAACTTCTTAAAGAACTACTATGGACTAAATGTTTGTATCTCCCCCTAATTTCTTATGTTGAAGCCCCATACCCCAATAAGATGGTATTTGAAGACATTTGAAGATAGTATTGGAAGGTAATTAGGGTTAGGTAAGGTCATAATGGTGGGGCTCCAATCTGATAGGGCTGGTGCCCTTACAAGAAGAGAAAGACACAGAGTTCTCTCTCTTTCGCTGCCACATGAGGCCACAGTGAGAGTTCAGCCATCTTCAATCAAGGAAGAGAGCCCTCACCAGAAGCTGACCATGCAGGCACCTGGATCTTGGATTTCTGGCCTCCAGAATTATGAGAAAATAAATTTTTGTTGTTTAAGCTAGTGCATGGTATTTTGTTTTGGCAACCTGAGCTGACTAATACTGGAGCAGTAAATATACACCGCTTTTGTATTTTTGTCACCTTGTCACTCCTTAACACTGGCAGTATGCCTTCACTCCAACTCCATCAGAGCTGCTCTGTCAGTCAGCAGTGAGCCTTGGAAAATGTCAAAGGGTCTCATTTTAATCCCTACTCTCTGGTTGTTCCCTGTAGACTTAACTCTATCAACTTTCAACTTTTTCTTCTTTCTTCTTCTTCTTTTTAAAAAATAATAGCTTTGCCTGGTTGGTGTAGCTCAGTGGTTGAGCGTCAACCTATGAATGATTCCCAGTCAGGGCACATGCCCGGGTTGTGGACTTGATCCGCAGTGTGGGGTGTGCAGGAGGCAGCTGATCAATGATTCTCTCTCATCCTTGATATTTCTATCTTTCTCTCCCTCTGAAATCATTAAAAATATATTTTAAAAATAATAGCTTAAAAAAATAATAGCTTTATTGAGGTACAATTGACATTCAATTAGTTGTTCAATGAAGTGTTCAATTAGAGAAGTTTTAGTATATGTGTGCAACTGAAACCATCACCACAGAAAAATAATGACCATCGCCATCCCTCCCACCCACCCCCCTTCCTCAAGTAACCGTTGCTTTGCTTTCTGCAATTATAGATCAGAAAGCATTTTCTAGAACTTTATATAAGGGGAGTCATGCAGTATGTACTCTTTTTTGTCTGGCTTCATCCATATTGTTGTGTATATCAATAGATCATGTCTTTGTATTGCTGAGTAGTATTCCATTGTATGAATATACCACAATTTGTTTATCCATTCATCTGGTGATGGGTATTTGGGTTCTTTCCAGTTCTTGGCTATTTTAAAATAAAGCTGCTGTAAACATTTGTGTATGTCTTTATATGGACATGTGCTTTCTCTTGCATAAATATATAGGAGTAGACTGGCCGGATCATCTGGTAATCGTATGTTCAATTTTTTAAGAAAGTGCCAAAACTATTTTCCAAGATGATTGACCATTTTGCATTCCCATGAGCAGTGTATGGGAGTTCCAGATCCTTCTCATCCTTGCCAACACTTGGAATGATCAGCCATGTAAAAGTTAACCATTCAAATGGGTGTGCAGTTATTTCTCACTGGGGTTTTACATTTATCTAATAACTAATTGTTTTGAACTCCTTTTTTATGTGCTTATTTGTCATCTGCACATCTTCTTAGATGACTCATTTCTTCTTGAAACATTTCTCTCCTTCGGCTTTGGTAGCAATGCACAATTTTATTCTGTCTCCGTCTCTTTCCTTTTTTTCCTCCCTTTCCTCCCTTCCTCTTGGTCCCTTTCACTGTCTTCATCATTTATTCCTCCTTATTATCTCATTAGCCCTCTTCCTGTCCCACATTCGTAGGAAAGCATATAAATACACATACACATATATTCATGTATATTTATATATTCATGTATATTTTACCCTAATGCCTCCTTACCCCTCCCAGTGCTGTAGGTCTTTCCAGGCTATTACTCTTCATGCCTTCCCTCGCCTGCCCTGTGCTCCTATCTAGTGACTTTCAACATTTGCTCCCTGGGTGGATCTCAGGAAATAACTCATAAGCCTCTCAATCTCCCTGGCAATCATAACAACCCCACTTATACCTGTTTAATTATTGGTATTCCTCATAAGATTAAATTAATTAAATAAAGGAATCTATATGTTAACTTTGTATGAAAACCACAAGTGGTGGTCAAACCAGCTCATTTTTTCCTAGTCCCCATCTGCCCTTTCTTGCTTCTATGCCTGGGTATCTGAAGGGACTCCTCTCTACTCAGAATGATCACATGGTCATCTCTGCCTATCATAAAGCTCATCCCCCAGGCTTTCCCAAATGCCTCCTCTCTGTGCTACCCTTCTGAGGTGCCCAAATGAGACCTCTTTTTCCTTTAAATTCTTTCAATAGCTTGTTGAATCTCTTTTATGCCTTGTGTATTTGAACTACTTGTTGGCCGGTCCCCCTTACCCACACTGGCCTGTAAATTCCTCCGGAGCATGAATTATACCTTAGTATTACCTGATGAGCTCAAATGAACAAATAACAAAAGAAAGAATAGGTAAATTGGATTTATCAAAATGAAATATTTGTTTCCAAGGGCACCATCACAAAAGTGAGAAGATGGCCCTCAGAATGGGAGAAAATATTTGCAAATATTATACTTGATAAGGTGCTTGTATTCAGATTAAATAAAGAATTCTTACAATAATTAAAAGACCCAAAAATCCAAATTTGTAAAAGGGCAAAGCATTTGAATAGACATTTCTCTAACAAAGACATACAAATGGCCAATAAGCACATGGAAAGATCCTCAAATCATTAATAATTAGAGAAATGCTAATGAAAACCATGATGAGATACCATTTACTCCCACTAGCATAGCTAAAATAAAGAAGTGAGACAATAACATGTTCATATTATTATTCATAATAGCCCCAAAGTAAAAACAACCCAATGCCTGTCAACTGATAAATGGAGAAACAAAATGCGATATAGCTATAGGATATCTTTCATCAGTAAAAGGGAATGAAGTACTGATACATGTTCAAACATGGATGAAGCTTGAAAACATAATGCTAAGTAAAAAGAAATCTGACATGAAGTGGCATGTTTTATGGCTCCATTTATATAAAATTTCCAGAATAGGCAAAGCTATAGAGACACAAAGCAGATTCCAGGTTGCTAGGGGCTGAGGGGAGAGGGGAATGGGAGTGACTGCTAATTGGTACAGAATTTCTTTTGAGAGTGATGAAAACTTTCTGGAATTAAATTGTGGTGATGGTTGCATGATCTTGTGAATTATATATGGTAAAGGGATAAATTTAATGTAATGTAAATTATCTATATATATAAAAGGCCAAGTGACCGACTGTCCATCCGTCCGACCAACTGACTGGCTGGTACATAGGACGCACACTGGCCATTTAAAAATAAATGTTGAATCGCGCATGCGCAATACATATAAAGCTCTTGCTGGCACCAATCACACATACGTGTTTCGATCTGTCATTGCCGATCATGAATTTGATTGACACTTCTATTATAAAGGGCAAATAGCGATATTAAAATATATTTCTTCGAATTAATTTCCTTTCAATGTGCACGAATCCGTGCACCGGCCACTAGTATCTCAATAACAACCAAAAAAAGCCAGAAAAAGAAAGAGTATAGCCCTAACTGGTTTGGCTCAGTGGATAGTGTCGGCCTGCAGACTGCAGGGTCCTAGGTTCGATTCTGGTCAAGGGCATGTACCTTGGTTGCAGGCACATCCCCAATGGGAGGTGTGCCCCAGTGGGTGTGCAGGAGGCAGCTGATCAATGTTTCTCTCTCATCGATGTTTCTAACTCTCTATCCCTCTCCCTTTCTCTCTGTAAAAAAATCAATAAAATATATTTTTTTAAAAAAAAGGTGTTAATCTTTTAAAAAAAAAAGAGTATATATTGGGTGTTGACTTTTGTGGAAAAAAGAAGGCATAAATTTGTTAGGTTTGATCAAATAATTGAATCGATACCCCTCTCCTGGAATGGCCCTTTAGGCCACTTTACAATGAACATTCCCTTTCGCTTAGACCACATTCCACTTGCTAAGACCACATTCCACTTGCTAAGACCATTATCTCTCCCCTCTGGACCGTCCCAGGCTCTGGACCTGCACAGAGAATTCTCTGCCCATAAAAAGCCCACCTAGAGTCCTTTAAAACCTCTGACTCCCTATCTTTGGGTGCTGGCACCATTTGGGGGCTCAGCCCATCTAGTATCCAGATGACCTAATGAATTTATAATCCCTTACTACTTTGGCCTTGTGCATTCCTCATTTGGCTACCCTAAAAAAATTTTACTTTTGCAAAAAAAGAAATACAGGAAGGATAAAACATAAAACAATGGAGTCCCTTATCTACAAAGGGCAGAGGTGGATGAAAAGGTTATTTTATTCTAGCTAGTCAATATTATAGAGTTACATATAAAGAAAAATTATTAGCAATAAAAGGTAAAAGACCAAGTAAAGATTTGGTCATGTGTTGAGTCACTTTAGAAAAGAAGAAATAAAAAAAAAGGCGGGAAGAAAAGAAAATAAAAATACAGGAAAGAAGGGAAAATGGGAGAAAGAGAAGAGAAAGGGGGAGAAGAGAAAGAAGGGAGGAAGGAGAGGTAGAGGTAAAGGTAAGGAGGGAAGTACGCAAGGAAGGAACAGCCTGATGTTAGCTGGTGGGTCATGGTAGCATGCCTCAGGCTCCCCTATCTTACAGGCTGACCTGGACATCAGCAGGACAGCCCCCTCGGGGAGTGTGATAGAAGAATGCATGCTGGACAGCCACCATCAAAGCATTTTTCTGAGCAGCTTGACATGCAAGAATCACTTGCATGTTTTCAACTCCCGAATGGAACAAGAGCTACAAAAAGAAAATACAAAAGGTATTAGGAATTTCTCTCATAAAGAAAAGGGTAAATAAGCCAGTCAGAGAAAGACAAATATCACATGGTCTCACTCATACGTGGACTCTAATGAACAAAATAAACTGATGAACAAAATAGGTCCAGAGACATAAAAGCATGGAACAGACTGCGGAATCTCAGAGGGCAGGTAGGGTAGGGGAGGGGTGTGGAGAGATTAACCAAAGAATTTATATGCATATATGCATACCCCATCGAATATAGATAATAGTGTGGTGAGGGTCTGGGGGGGTGGTGGTATTAGGTGGAGGAGAGTCAATGGGAAAAAAGGGGGACATATGTAATATTTTCAACAACAAAAATAAATTCTTTTAAAAAAGGAAAAGCTAAAGTTGAGAGTTGAGATCACCACTTATGCAACATCCTATATAATAAAAGACTAATATGCAAATCGACTGAACAGCGGAAAGACCGGTCACTATGATGTGCACTGACCACCAGGGGGCAGACATTCAATGCAGGAGCTGCCCCCTGGTGGTCAGTGCGCTCCCACAGAGGGAGTGCTGCTCAGCCGGAAGTCGGGCTCTGGCAAGCACAGCGGTGGTGGCGGGAGCCTCTCCTGCCTCCGTGGCAGTGCTAAGGATGTCTGACTGTCAGCTTAAGCCATCAGTCGGACATCCCCCAAGGGCTCCCGGACTGCAAGAGGGTGCAGGCTGAGCTGAGGGACCCCCTCCCCAAGTGCATGAATTTTGTGAACCGGGCCTCTAGTGTATATATAAAATTCAAACTGCAGGATGAGCTGAGATCCTTGTTCCTCAGTCACAAGACTGAATCTCCCTAAGCAGCATTTCATCCAGGAAGGCAGCCCCAACGCTTGATTTGCTCTGTAGCTGGACACCATCAGGTTTCCCCAAATGTCAGAAAAGGATGAGCAGGCTTTAATGGGTGAGTAAACACGCATAGGGGAAGGCTCTTGCAAAACTGCCAAGATTAGATTTATGTTTAAAAAATACACACACAAATTGAAGCCTGCACATACACACATAGAAGCAAAGGAAGCTATCCGAGTGACAGGAAAAAAACAGCACCATCTGACTTAAAAAGGTCAGATAAAAGCTCCAATAACAAGCGTATATTTTCAAAAGCTTGACACAAAGGTGGCTCACTACAAGTGCTTCTTTTTAATATCTAATAGAAGTTATTGCAAAGGGTATTGCAGTCTCTATAGTTCAAACCAGGCCAATGTGCACATCAAATGAGGCAAGGCCTTCATCATTACTTATGAAGTTGGAAGCTATTCTTATATAAGAGACCCAACCTTATATGGATTAAACATTATGATTTTTAAAGAAATACATAAAAAATTGCTTAATTTTACTTTAGTTTTTTTTTTAAATTAAAATAATTTACCTTAAGGATGGCTTCCTTTGTATAAAAACTAAATTTGCCAACTTGGTTATCATCCACCTCAGAGATGGCCAAGACAAGAGTAGTAGGAGAATATCTGCAAGAAGAAACATGTCACTGTTTCAGGCATTGTGCTGTGTCATTAGTCAAGAGATGCCCATTCTGATGGGACAGAATGGCCTGTGATCAGCTCTGGGACATCAGTAGTAACAGCAAGCGCAGATGTTATGCAAGACTTGATATTTCCACTCGAAGACTGAAGGGCTCTGGGGTCTTTTCAGTCCTTATTGGACTTGATCTCCCTATAGTTTCATTGTGGTGACTATCCACCCTGGAGCATTTGAAATTATTTTCTCTTGATCACTATACCACTGTTTTTCTCCTGTTTTTTCCTCTTGCCTTCTTGACCTCCCCACTTTGGCATGTGGATTGTCTTGAGCCAAAGGCAATTGAAACCCTGCCGGCTTCCAGATACTTTTACCTCTCCCTTAAAGAATTTAAATTAAAGGCCTTGTCTATAATAGGAGTTTATCACCAGAGATAACTTTTTATGACTTCTATCTAGGCCGGGGCAAACGTCTAATTACTGAACATCTGAGCATCTGATCTTATTGTCCCGAGAATGACCTTCCTCCCTGCTGAAGCCCCAAGGTGCCTTGCCTCATTCCTTTGCTCAGAAAGTTATTACCTCATTTTTCCTTTCCCCTCTCTGAACCTCTCATGTATATGGGGTTCCCATAGAACATATATAATTAAATTGGATCATTTTCTCTTGTTAATCTGCCTCATGTTGATTTGACTATTAGACCAGCAGAAAGAACCTAAGAGGGTAGATGGAGAGAAGTGTCTTCCTCTCCACAGCCTCATCTACTCAGGCCCCTCACAGACTCAGACCCCCTTGTCCATTCCCTAAAAGTTGTTCAGTTTTAACTCTCTCTCATTGCCCTAATGGTCATCTAATATTCTTTGTAACCATGTTTCTGCCTTTGTCCATAACTATGAGACTCTATTATGTAATTTAATATCTATGACTTTTGGTTTCTTTATCTATGACTTTATGTAAATGGGATATCACTTATCTCATATGTGGCTGTGACAAATATTAAGTGGATTAATATGCATGAATGTACTTTTTAAAATGTAAGTCACTATGCTTATGTTTGATATATGTTGTTGTCACAGCAGAACTCCAAAGTGGCAACTTTAAGAAATGAACATATATAAAACAAATGCAAACTCCAGACACAAATTTCTTGGATGCATAAACCGTTCTCTAGGAATTCAGAAGGTTCCCCAGATCTTGCAGAATCTCTGGGTCATCACTGTGAGGACCATCACTGCTTGGCCAGGACACAGAGCACTTGGGCAACCTGTGCTATTTGGTTGATTCTGACTGAACAAAATAGGCCTTATTTCACGGCAGTGTAAAAGATCAGCTCCAGCAGGAGGCCCTCGAAGAGAGAGAATAGCTTAGCTCTAGGTTGGAGACTAAGCCTTGCCTTCAGCTTCTGTGAGATCCCTCTATATCCTAACAATAAATTCTCTTTTTGGTTTAGCTAGTGTGACAGGATAGAGCGGGGGACATTTTGCCTTCAGAGGACATTTGGCAATATCTGGAGACATTTTTGATTGTCACAAATGGGAAGAAGAGGTATTACTAGCATCTGGTAGATAGTGGTCAGGGGTGCTGCTAAACAACCTCTGATACACAGCCCCCTACAAGAAAGAGTCACTCTGCCCCAAATTTTCATAGTGCCAAGATTGAGAAATTCAGAGACACTGTATTCTATCATCCTAACCCCTCCATTCTACCCATGCTCTGAGGAAGATGAGTCCCTTAACATATTAATATACTAACATATCCAAGTTGTATTTTGAGCAGGGATCCACATCAGCAAAACCAAGGTGACTTTCCCTCCTTGGAGTCACCCTTGCCTTCCTTGGGTGGGTGGGACCAGGACCAGAAATCTCTAAGGATAGAACTAGGGCCCTCAGGGGGAGGGCAGACTAGGGGGGAAGGAAAGAAGACAAAAATTTCTTCTCAGCATTTATCAAAGGTGGACTCTCTGAGGGGAAAAAGATCCCTTTCTCTAACTGAATGGATTCATGATCTGTTAGTGGTAGGAGTGTTTGCTTTCTGCCAATGGGCATGAAATAGAGGTTTCACTGGTTTGAGTCAGCTTCTTTTATTGACCAACAGAAGAACCTGTATAAGAACCTGTATAAGATACATGTTAGATTTGTACATTGTGTTAGAATTTCGAGGAAACAGTGCTCAAAAACACTTGACTGACTTCTTCCTGGTCCCAGGGAAAGTGAGAGAAGAGACCTGGACTTCTGATCCACGGTTCTTGCCCCATGAGACCAACCCTCACACCCCTTTCTACCCAGAAGCAACATAGTCAACCCGGGTAGCTGCCTGAGCCTGTGATTCCATCTCATTTGAACTCTCTGATCTGATTCTTCCATTTCTCAGTTACTTGATGTTTTTAAATCAAATTATTCCCCTTGATTGAGACCTTATTTTCCCCTCTTATTAAGAAAAAGGAAGAAAGAAAATAAATGGCATTATGGCAGACAGAATATAAATACAATTAGAAATACAATTGCATTTGCGTGTCTAGTGGTGGTAGAAATTATTTTTCACTAGTCATTCATTCTACCATTTCATTATTTTTACTTTGACCCTCTTAAGGCTCACCTGTCTACGCGATCACTGTTCTCCAGCAGAGAGGTGATAAAGACAGGAGGTGGATGATCCACCATGTCCTTGTGTGTTGCAAATTCAAAGTGAACAGGCCTCAGATGCAAATGGAACTCTTCAAAGCCCATCTCCCACGCCATTTTCTTATAGAGACTAAAAGGGGGGAAAAGAGCCAACAACATTTACTATTTATTTTCCCCTAAAAGGAAACTAAGTGGTAAGAAAACCAAAGCATTAGAATCAGCACAAAAGCAAAAAGCAAAATAAAAGTAACACAAGTAGGACAGGAAGTGAATGAGTCACAAAGGTCTTCTGTCTGCCCTTTGCCATGACAGTTGAAAATAGAAGTAACGTAGGAGGAGATGTGCTTGGGTACTTCCTTAACTCTCATTTCCTGCAAGCTGGTTTCTGTCCTCAGAGTCCTCACCAGGTCACCTATATTGCCCTCAATACAAGGTTCATTTTCTTCCCGTGGAACTCTTCACGACTGGCCTCTGTCCCCTTCTTAGGGAACATTGCTCTCCTGGACCCAGGATGTCCACGCTCCTACCTTGTGACCACTCTCTCTGTCTTCATTGACTTCTTCTTGTCTTTATTTTCAAATCCTGGTGTTTCCCGAGGTTCCAAACCCAGTCCTCTTCTCATCTTCTCCATACTCTCCGTGGGGTGTCTGCCTTCCAGCCCCACACCCCAACAGTCCCCTCTAGGGACCCCATCTCCATCTTGCCCAACTCTGCGTTCTACTCCCACGTTTCCACAGCTTGCAGCAAGGCTCCGTTCGGGTGTCCCCTGGCATTTCAGCTTTCTGTGTCTAGAATGTCTTCTCCTCTTCTCTCACCCCCATTCTAACACATTTCTCCATCTTGAGAAATTGGCACGTTAAGGCTGAGTTCAAATGGCACCTATATTAGTTCTCTAGGCTGCTGTAACAAAGTACCATAACCTGGGTGGCTTACACAACAGCAATACGTCTCATAGCTCTGGAGGATGGAAACCTGAGGTCAAGGTGTCAGCGGGGTTGGTTCCTTCTGAGGGCTGTGAAGGAAGGCCTCTCTCCTTGGCTTATAGTTAGCATCTTCTCCTTGTGTTTTCACATTGTCTTCCCTCTGTGTGTGCCTTTGTCCAAATTTCCTCTTCTTATAGGGACACCAGTCTTATGGGATTAGGGCCCAGCTCTGTAACTTCATTTTAACTTGATTTCTTCTGTAAAGACCCTATCTCCAAATAAAGTCACATGCTGAGGTACTAGGATTAGGACTTGAACATATGAATTTGGGGCAGGGGGACACAATTCATCCCATAACAGTCCCTTTTCTATGAAGCTTTCCCTGATCCCCTTAAATAGAACAAAATACTCCATTTTCTGTGCTCCCATAATATCTTGTTCACATGACTACAGTATCTTATCAAACTGTATCAGGGATGACTTTTACATTGTGAGCTCTAAGATTTATGATCAGAAATTATGGGGAAATAATATCATAGAGGTTAATAAATATCTTGACTTGTGTTTTAAATTGTATATTCTTCTATAATACTTTCTAGTTATGCAATTTTAGGCAAATTACTTAACTTTTCTGAGCCTCTACTTCCTCACTGGCAAAATGTTTGCAAGCTACCTCAAAAGGATATTCTGAGAATTAAAAATGAACGAATACACATGAAGTTCCCAGTACAGACCCAGGCCACAATAGGCCCTCACAAATGGTTGGTGGTAGATGACTTGACCCTTTGTGTGTACAGGGCCTCTCATGAAGATCAGAACACAATCGAACTCACACAGGTTTGCAACAAATCCTCTAGTTCCATATTCTTCCTGCGTATGGAACATGTCCACTTGGATGTCTTACTATCACCTCACACTCATACCTAACACCTAACTCATTCATCTTTCCCTCCCCTCACCTGCTGAACCTTCCACACCCTTCAAGGCCGGAATGGTGTCACTGCCTCTCCTTTGTCTAGCCCTCTACTGTTTCTGCTCTGCTATTCAACTTCATTACAGTCAAGAGAAAAATCCAGTCAATATTTAGAGTGTTGGTGCAGGGCAGGCCTGGCCCCAGGTGATGAGGTACCATGGAAAACAATACACACAGGGCTTTTGTATTCAGGGAACTTCCACTAGCAGGAAAACCAATAAACCAGTATGAAGCATCTCATTACATGGTAATGTGCTGAATGGAGAGGAAGGCCAGGTGCTAGGACCTAGCCTAGCTAAGTGGTCAGGGAGGCACGTAGGAAGGCCTGGGTGAGAGAAGGAGCAAGCCAGGTGGCCATTTCAGCAATTTAGAAAGTTTCCACAGGCTGTTCGGGGGGCACGGAGGGGGCAAGGCTTGTAGGCAGGAAGCCCCGCTGTCTGTTACCCCCCACCAGACCCTCAGTGCCCCCACTGACCGAGCTAAGCGTGCGCTCTCCAGGCTCATTTCTACCAGCCGGTGGCGGAGGGTCACAAGTTCCAGAAGTTTGGAAAACGTCTCCAGGAGCAGCACACGAGCGCCTCGGCCTTGGTTCTGTCCTTCGGCTGCTGCAGACTTAAGTGCAAGCAGGCCTATCTCCTCCACAAGAAAGGGATCGCCCATCACCTTCGCTGAAAGCAGCTGAGAGAAAACCAAGTATTTTAAAAATATATGTGTATACATTTTTTTCCCCAAAAGAAATATCACATATTAAGAAAAATGCTATTAGTAGCACAGATTCTGGATCCAGATTTTCTGGGCTCAAATCCTGGCTCTGCCACTTAAAATCTGTGAGATTTGGGGCCATTTACTCTATCGTGTTGTCTCTTAGTTTCCTCATCTGTAAAGTGGGGATAATAACAGTACAAAATAGGCACTAGTAGACACTAAGTAATCACCTAGAAGGGATGTTAAGAGGCTTAAGTGAGTAAGTAGCTGTGAAAATGCCTGGTACATCGTATTTGTTGTTATCATTATTATAAATGTTTTAAGCCAAAATAAAGAATAGAAATGACAAAGACAACCTAAATAGAAATAGCAGTCCTGACATCTGTCAAATATTTTATGGCCAATAATAATAATAATTTCTTATAAGCCCCTCTGATCGCCTTTCAACAATTCAAACTATTTTAACTAACATTAACTCGTTTATTTTCACAAGATCCCCATAAAGTGGGCTTCACAGATGCCATGATTTGATCCTGAGGGATCTGAAGCAACACTGGAACTTTCTAAGTGTCACACAGCAACACCAAGAGTACATTCAGGCTTCCTAATCCCAAGTTCAGCCTTTTTACAGGACACTAAACCGCCTTTATTTTTTTATATATATACTTTAAAAAGTATATATATTTTTATTGATTTCAGAGAGGAAGGGAGAGGGAGAGAGAGATAGAAACATCAATGATGAGAGAGAATCATTGATTGCCTGCCCTCTGCATGCCCCCCCACTGGGGATCAAGCTTGCAACCGGGGCATGTGCTCTTGATCCCCAGTGGAGGGCATGCATGGGAATAGAATCGTGACCTCCTGCTTCATAGGTTGAAGCTCAACCACTGAGCCACACCCACCCTGCTAACCTGCCTTTACAGCGCTCCTCCACTCAGAGCCAACCCTGGGCAACTTGTGAAATAATCCCACTGTTTTTAATGCCCTCCTGTCGTGTTCAGTTCCTCTACTCTGACACCTTTGCTACTCTCTAACATACCACTCCGCAAGGACCCAGTTTCAGGACCCTGATCTGCCTTTCCAAGTTTGGCTCCCTGAGCATGTACAAACTCCCCTATCCATCCATTTATCTACCAAAAGCCTTGTCTACTCAAGGATGCAATTTCTAGACTCTTGAAGTCTTCCAAAAGTGATAAAGAAAGTTATTAAACTAATTCCTACATGTCCTCTGAGGGTAATGTGTGCCCTCTTTTCTGGCCTAATACAAAAGTTTAATTTGAATATTTATCATTTCTAGATCCAAATTTGAACACATTTCAAAAGTAATAATTATTAAAACTGGGAACCTAGATAAGTATCTTAGATATTTACTATGATTTACAAGAGAATTTAAAATACATTTTAAAAATCTGGTACCATGCCCTGGCAGGTGAGGGTCAGTGGTTAGAGCAGGGGTGGGCAAACTTTTTGACTCGAGGGCCACAATGGGTTCTTAAACTGGACCGGAGGGCCGGAACAAAAGCATGGATGGAGTGTTTGTGTGAACTAATATAAATTCAAAGTAAACATCATTACATAAAAGGGTACGGTCTTTTTTCTTTTTTAGTTTTATTCATTTCAAACGGGCCAGATCCAGCCCGCGGGCCGTAGTTTGCCCACGGCTGGGTTAGAGTGTCAGCCTGTGAACCAAAGGGTCATTGGTTCAATTCCCAGTCAAGGGCCCATGCCTGGGTTGTGGGTCAATCCTCAGCCCCAGTTTGGGGTGTGGGGATTACGGGAGGCAACCAATCAATATGTCTCTCTCATATCAATGTTTCTCTCTCTCTCCCTCCCTCCTTCCCTTCTACTTTTTATAAAAAACAAACAAAAAATAGAAAAAATATCCTGGGGTGAGGATTAACAACAACAACAACAACAAAACACTCTGGCACCATACTACAAAATGAAAAGAATCCTCAATAAATTATAGGAGGATACATGACTGGTAATTTGAGGGGAAATTTAATTTTGAGCCGTACCTCGCACCACACACACACCAGATAGAATACTAAATGGGTAAATATTTTTTAAATAAAATGAAAATCTTAAGAAATTAGAATAAAATAAGAAATATAAAAAATCTAGGGGAAGATTTGCTTTCTGGATTTAGGAAGACAGAAGAAATCACAAAGGAAAAGATCAACTATATGAAAATAAGTTTCTGTTAAAAATAAAAAGACAAATTGGGGGAAATATTTGCAGAAAACATGATGGATGAAAGGATTAAAGCTTTTACTTAAGAAGAGTTCATGTGAGTGGATAGGAATAACATTAGAATTCGAAGAGATAAATAAACAAAGAGAAAGAACAGAAAATTCACACACACAAAAATACAGTTTATAACCAGACATTTATAAGAATATTTAGTCTCGATAAATACCAAAAAAAAATTTGACAAGTCCACCTTTTCCATATATGTATATATTGGAACTGACATTCTATGCTTACACCTAATATTATACAATGTAGCAGAACTGGTGCTCTTAAAAATTATTGATGGCATTGTAATTTGGCACAACTCTTTTTTGTCAATTTTTATTGAATTTATTGGGGTGACATTGGTTAATAAAATTACACAGATTTCAGGAGTACAATTCTATAATACATCATCTGTATATTGTATTTTGTGTTCAGCACCCCAATTGGCACACTCTTGACAAGCAATCTGCCAAGATGTTAGCCAAAGACTTAAATTTTGTTTCAGCAATTTCACTTCCAAGAATTTATCAAAAAGAATTAGTTCAAAATATGGAAAAATCTATAAGCACAGAGATATATGTACCTTATAGCATTTTTAATAATATTGAAAACTTAGACACTTATTTGAATGCCCATCAATAGGCAAATTGTTAAGTAAGTTATTATTCATCACTTAGAGAATCATGCAGTTATAAAAATGAGTATAAAGACTGGTTAGTAGCCTGACCGGTTTGGCTCAGTGGATAGAGCGTCAGCCTGCAGATTTAAGGGTCCCAGGTTTGATTCCGGTCAAGGGCATGTACCTTGGTTGCGGGCACATCCCCAGTGGGGAGTGTGCAGGAGGCAGCTGATCGATGTTTCTCTCTCATCGATGTTTCTGGCTCTCTATCCCTCTCCCTTCCTCTCTGTAAAAAATCAATAAAATATATATTTTTTAAAAAAAGACTGGTTAGTAATATAGAAAGATACACAATATGTTAACTGAAAAAAAATATGTTAACTGAGAAAAATAGGAGATAGCATTGTATGAAGTATATGATTATAATTTAACATGCACATGAGGAATAATTTATTTTTATCAACTTAACATTAATTTAAAATAAAATAAAATTTTAGTTTGGGTAGGAGGGAATAGAAGGCTGAACCAGACACGTGAAACAGGTATTTTTGGCATCTGGGGCCCTTGAAAATTCTTTCATATACAGCAAGTGCCCACATAAAGTAAGGTCAAGCTGAAAACCCAGGCTCAACTGTGACAGCCTTAACCAAAAACAAAAGAATTAAAATCCAATTGCAAACACCAAGTAAGTCATTGGACCACAGCTTGAACCATAGATCATTAGAACTGGAAGGGCCTTTAGAGGTCATCAAACTCACCTACCACCACTCCCCTTCAAAGACAGAAACATAATGTTCCACAATAGGAAAGTGAGGCTCAGAGAGGCTAAGACACCCAGTCAAAGGCACACAGCACGTTAATGGCAAGGCTGAACTTGAGTCTAGGTCCCTGACTCCACATTCAGTCCTCTCTCTCCCCTACCAGGCCTCAGCTCAGGACAAAAGGAGTGAATTTTAGAAAGAGTCTTAGTGGAAAGAAAACATATCATTTTTAATAAAAAATGTATATTGTTAAAATATAAATAATAAATCAGAAAACACTTCTCACATACCTATGTACACCTCTCTTTTAATTTCATTGTAGCAGCATCCTGATAAACTAGAAACTTTGACACCCCCCTCCCCTCAAAATCACATAAAAATGCTGGCAAGGCCTAGGATTATGATCTGTCTCTGGCCAAATAGGGGAGGAATAGAGCCAAACAGAAAAGCAAAGCTAAGTAGTAACATCTGGGAGGAAACATTCCCTTCGCCAAGGACCCACCTTCCCCCCTTCAGAGAACCTACATCTTTCTGGAGCTGTGCGCTGTACCAGGACTCGGGCGTGGCTGGGGTGAGCCACACGTCCAGGGCCAGCTGTAGCAGCCGCCTCTCCAGCAGGGCGAGGCCGCTGGGTGATGCAGGCCTGCAGATGTGGCGGGCCTCCTGGAAGAGGTGCTCGAGGGCTCTGGGGATGAGCGATGCCAGGCCCAGGGAAGGGTGGAACTCCAGCAGATAAATGTTTTTCAATGTGGGGCTTTAAAAGAGGAGCAGAGAATGACAATTTTACACAATGAAGAACTTAATCTCTTTCCAAAAACATTTGAATTTTATAATTTTAAAGACCAGTAAAACAGCTCCTTTAAGCCAGGACATTTTTTTTTAAAAAAACACACAGGAACTTGAAAGGGCCTCATAGGCCGTCCGGGGAACCCTTTAGATTATACAACATGTTCTTTACTTTTATATGAACCCTTTTAAACTTGGAAGATATGAGTTTATTCTAAAAGTGAAATAAGAGTAAGATTCTTAAAATATGTACAGCAAACCTGTCAACATTTCAGTAATCAATATTTAGTCAAATATTTGAAAACAGCCCGGCTGGCGTGGCTCAGTGGTTGAGGGTCAACCTATACACCAGGAGATCACGGTTCAATTCCCAGTTGGGGCACATGACCAGGTTGCAGGCTCCATCCCCAGTAGGGGGCATGCAGGAGTCATCCATGTTTCTCTCTCATCGATTTTTCTATTTCTCTCACCCTCTCCCATCCTCTCTCTGAAATCAGTAAAAACACTTAAAAATATATTTGAAAACACAGTAACTTAAAAGTGACTAAATAGTAAACAAATAATTTCCATGGTTAGTTTCTATTTTTACTGGAGTCTTTACCTCCTTTCCCCCCAAAATGTTAATGGACAGAAACGATTTTTAAATTCTGTGTACTACTGGAATCATTCACGTCTGCCATAAGGATGCTATGTTTTATAAATGAATGAGGCTGGAAATGATAAAAGGCTTGTCTGTGGGTATTTCTTTGGAAATGGAGGATATAACACAAGTCAAGGGCCTTTGTATTCCTACATGGAACTAAAGAATAGAAATACTTTTTAAATCTATGCAAATGGATCCCTCTTAGTCCTAGATCTTAAAAAATACAACCTTCAGGATGAAAAGGAATCTTAACAAGCAAATAACACTTATTTTTGAGACTCTTCTGACAAGACTTAGTATTTATATAGGCCTAGCATGTTCTGCCAAAAACCATTTTCTATACAGTAGAGTCTTGCCACAGAAAGTTTCACATACACAGCTGGTGTCTGAAGCTGATTACAGTGAAGAAATCAGTCCTGAGAAATGTCTGTGGAGGAAATGTAGTCTTGTGCCTGGGACCCCACGGACTCTTTCTCAAGAGACAAGGTTGAATCTCAGCTATGAAATCTCCTGGCACCCCACTGTCCCCAAGATGATCCCACAGCCATGTGGAATTTCCCACCGAGAGTCTGCCTATAGCGCCACACTGTCCACCTCCCAGGGACACAGGGCCATGCCTCTGCTGCTCCCATCTGTGAGAACACGAGTGCACTCCCAGCGCACTGCCTGCTGTGTGTCAGTGCTCAACAAAGACTTGTGGGATGTTGAGAGGAGCTGGACAATATTTCCACCCATTTGAAGGCCATAGAGAAATTGTGATCTCAAGTTACACAGACCAAATTGGGGCTTGTCAACCACTTCCCAGTTCCTTCTTTACCCTCTGAGGCTGGAAGGGAACGGGGGTGGGGCGGTGGGGAGGAGGGGAGAGGTCATACTACATATCAAGGGGGTTTTAAAGTATGTGCCCTCTCTGAGTGGTCTCGGGAGATTTAATTTGCTCCTTCAAGGGGTGGGGGACCACAAGGTGAGTCTGCAGAAACCTTTTTGGTGATACTTGCTAGAAAAAATAAATTCCTTTTTGAGAAACTTTTAAGGACATCAAGGTTCATGTATGTCAGCTATGTGCAACCTCTGATTATATCTTCCGATGGCATTTCAAGAGCAACTGCTTTTTTTCTTTCTTTTTTTTAGGTTTTCTCAAGGAAGTGAAGATTCTGTACCCAGTGGCATAAGTTTAAATTTGAGCCTCCTATTCTTTATTACTTAAAGCAAGTGATACCGAGGGTGCGAGGGAGTCCCTCTTCTGCGGCTTTTATAGATATTCTCTCATCTCCCCAAATACTTGAGAGGCGCTTTGTGCAATCGTGTTCAGACTTAACATCATACCCTTAACTTATCTAGGGGATTAAAAGTCAAATGTCTAAAGACAACACCAGCTTACCAGCTATTGTTGATGGAGATAAGTTGTTTGCAAATTATGTTAAGGGGAAGTCCAAAATTATTGCTCTCATCGGGATGGCCTTCTTGCCAAAGCCTCTGGACATATTCCCGCTGCTGCTCTATCTAGAAATATCGCATAGACGTTGAAATTAGAAAAGTTAAACTTTCCCATGGATGTGAGTTCTGAGCCTTGGCATGAGAAAAACATCAGCCCTTTGCATGTCTCCGTTATTTGACCAATTTTCACTCAGACAGAATTTGGAGGATCCACTCATATAGGAACATGCTGGTCTCAGTCCGAGCCCAGGGTCAGCCAGGAGAAGCAAAGACAACCAGCTCCCGACAATCTTAAGAAGCACAAGAAAACTTCTTTTTGTCAAATAATTGAGTACAAGGAGAAAAGTCTAACTAGGCCTAAGGTAAATGGACTGGAGCAATCTTTACCTCCCCTCTACTTCCTGCCACTAGCTTCCCCCCAGACGCCATACACTGTAACTGTTCCCTTTAGTCCTAAAAATAGTCACACCATTAAAAATAATAAACACGGTTGTATACATCAGTGCCTTGTACAGGGGTATGTTTAGTCGTTCTTTCATTACCAATAAACTCTATCATCTAATGAAAACAGGTTTTCCATTCTTTGTGGACTAGTAAATGTAATTAGGGTTGGGAACCTCCCTTTAAGATGGTAGCTATGCCCTAGCCGGTTTGGCTTAGTGTATAGAGTGTTGGCCTGCGGATTGAAGGGTCGCAGGTTTGATTCCGGTCAAGGGCACATGCCTGGGTTGCAGGCTCGATCCCCAGTAGGGGGCCTCCAGGAGGCAGCCGATCAATGATTCTCTCTCATTGTTGATGTTTCTGTCTCTCCCTCTCCCTTCCTCTCTCTGGAATCAATAAAAATATATTTAAAAAAAAAAAAAGACTGTAGCTATGCTTGGAATTCAACCATGCAAATAAGCTTACAAATAAACATGCTGCACATGCTGCCCTAGAAAACCCAGATTCTGGGCCCACAGTGAAAGGAAAGCACTATCTTCAGTTCTGGCCATGTTCTCCATCCCCTTCTCACATGTAATATTTTAATTTTTGTTACTTTTAAATTGATTTTAGAGAGAGAGGAAGGGATAGGGAGAGAGAAACATCAGTTGGTTGCCTCCCGTATGTACCCCGACCAGGGATTGACTTGGCAACCTGGGTATATACCCTGACTAGGAATCGAACCCGTGGCCCCTTGGTGCATTGGCCATGCTCCAACCAACCGAGCCACCCCGGCCAGGGCAGGGCACACGGGTAATGTTTTTAAGGACACTGTACTCACGTGCTGGTTGAGGATGCCCCTCAGTAGCTGCTGGTGAAGCCTCAGGCAGGTGCATTCATCTCGGTAGGCCTTAATGAAGTAAGGGTGGCTGAGATCAAACCTGGGGCCCCTGTACATGATGTCAGTGATCACTTGTGCTAAGGCAAACCTCTCCTCGGGGTCCAGCGTGTGCTGGTAGGCTTCAAAGTAACAGTCGAGAAGCTGCAAATAAGGTTGATAGTCAGGGAGCAGCAGGCAGTCCTAGGGCCCAGCAAGGAGAGGCGAGGCACCAGCACTCGATGCGTTGGAAAGACCCTGGGCACCCGCAGGAGAGAGACAGTGCTGAACCTCCGGGTACAGGGCTGGTGCAGGCAGCTGCAGACCCATGCAACTCAGGGCAATTAGTAAACCCACAGGGAGGTCAGGGAGGGCAAGGGAAAGAAAACTCGCTTTGCCTCTGTCCCCTTTACCCTGCTCTCCCCAGATAAAACGGGGGGGGGGGTGTTCTATAATGAAGAATATCACCTCTAATAATTATAAGCTCCAATTACAGTGCATTCAGGGACACTTCATCAAATATATTTATCTTCCACACCCATTCCTCGCCCCCTTTCACTCCATCACCAAATGTATGTAGGCAGGCAGCCTCCTCCCTAGTTCTACATCCTCGGCCCCATTTCTGACTCCTTCTCTTTAATGGTCTTCCCAACGTTCACCTATGTAGGAATGATGGGGGTGTGGTAGAATGGAAGGCTGAGGGTGAAAGTGCCCCCAAATGCAAAGGCTTTTCTCCCAGACCGGGCTCCACCAGGAGGGGCCCGGGTACAGAACTCCCAAAGGCATCCAGGGAGCTAACTCCTTTCCTGGTGGAGTCACAGCCTCCCCTAGAAACCAAAGAGAGTTTCCACACACGCACGGTTGAAGAGTGTTCTTCCTTTGGGAATTCAGATGCTCTATTTTTTTAAATTAGATTTTTATTGATTTCAGAAAGGAAGGGAGAGGGAGAGAGAGATAGAAACATCAATGATGAGAGAGAATCATTGAATGGCTGCTTCCTGCACTCCCCACACTGGGGATGGAGCCCGAAACCTGGGCATGTGCCCTAACCAGGAATCGAACTGTGACTCCCTGGTTCATAGGTCGATGCTCAACCACTGAGCCATGCCAGCCAGGCCAGATACTCTTGATTTTGCTTTTACATTTGTCTGTGAGCTTAAGGAATTTCTGTTCTGTGTGTAAATTCTATTTGTGTGTGATCAGTCATGGTGCTAATCAGTAAAAGCTCTTCAGAGTTCACTGGGCTGGAATCCAAAACAGGAACCTAAGGGCAAGGTAAAGGCAAGGTAAGGAAGTAGTTCTAAACAATGTACTTATTATTTTAGTTGTTTTAAAACCTTCATTGGCCTTAGACGCTCTCACTTTTGGAGACCTTGTCCCACATTATAACAATATATTAAATATATTAAAATGTCCTCACATCCCAATAAAATTATTTTTTCTGTAAAAATGTTAAGTGGCATGTATTATTTTGCTCTTCAAAATATTTGGCTATGAGCAACACATTTAATTAATGACTGGCTATGATTTCCGGACAGTATGTACCTGGGGATTCTTATGAAGTAAGAAAATCTGATCCATCAAATGTTTTCAGATGTAATGAGAAGTTCATAAGTGCTCAGTTGACCACGTTTTTACATTTTACAGAAATGTAATGAAGCATTTATTGACATCTATTTTGTATTTTCTTTTCTTACTTTGGAGTAATGTATGTGCTATTGTGTGTTTTTTCTCAGATCTCAAACATTTGCAATGTTCCCTGAAAAGCAATTAGGTCCTAAACACCCAGTCTATATGGCCTGATGGGTAAATTGGCTCGGACTGGAAGCTTCCGAACTATCATCCCCACTGGTCTTACAACGGAACCAATTTCTTTCCTCTGCCACACGAATCCAACATATCCTCCCCCAGAGTTTCCGCTCCAGCTGTCCCTTCGGAAAGTCTTCTGTGACTAGCTCCTCTCAGGGAGGTTCCCTCTCCTGAGGTCTCGGCTCCTGTGGTAGCGCTATCACCAAAGACACAGGCTGGCCCAGGGTAGGCACTGAATGGCCAGCAAGGAGGGAACTGCTGAGGCTGCAGTTTCTATCAGCCTGACAGCCTGCACACTGGGGGATGCAGTGGAGAAAGATAGGCTTTGTTTCCCTGGGGGCTGGTTTTCCTGGTGGTTTCAGGCCTGAAGTCAGCTCTCTTCTTAAAAAACGAAGGCATTTCCTAAAAGGAGATAAAGAGCCCCTCTCATGGTGTGGCCTCCATAGCTAAGAATGCAAAACCAGGAACAGAGAAGGTGTTAGCACTACTTGAATACAGGAGGCAACAGCACAGAAGGCAAATGGGAGATAGCGGAACCACGGTGCAGGAATAGCCAGGAATGTCTCCATTTTGCCAATCCTGGCTTCCGAGGCTCCCAAGGGAGGTGAACATTTGAAGATTAACAGGAGAGTAGGAATCAATGCCTTTTTAATAGACGTTCAGTACCTGAGGGTCTCAATGCTAAGGCTCAAGGAGGGAGAGCCTGGGGCACTTTATGTAGCATATGGTTTTGCAAGAACTCCTTTGGGAAACATCGGCCTAAGGGACTCTGGGTCAACCAAAGGAGGCTAAAAGCTCAGGACAGAATGCTCCATAGACACTCCAAGATCTCAGAGTTGAAATGACGGAAGGTAGAGATGCCCTGGTCCTGCAGGGAGAGCTAAGTTATCTCGTTTTGTCCCCAGAGTTCTACTCTGGAGTAACTTTCAATTATTAAGTAGCAGAAGACAAAGAAGAAGGAGTGACTAGTTGGTGTAGGAAGGGTACCACTTGGAATAGTCTAGGGCAGTGGTCGGCAAACTCATTAGTCAACAGAGCCAAATATCAACAGTACAACGATTGAAATTTCTTTGGAGAGCCAAATTTTTTTAAACTGAAAGTATATAGGTAGGTACATTGTTATTAACGTAATTAGGGTACTCCTAAGGCTTAGGAAGAGCCACACTCAAGGGGCCAAAGAGCCGCATGTGGCTCTCGAGCCGCAGTTTGCCAACCACGGGTCTAGGGGAAGAGTAGGAATGAAACAATTACTTCTCTAAATCATTCTGGCCTAACTTGAACCATTTTGCTGGGCCAGGGCAATCCCAGGAGCTAGTTTGTTGCATTTGTATTGCCCTGACCTGTTTTTGTACAAAGAGCCCGATTGTTTGGTAATTTGGCAGGAGAAGTTTAAGGGGAGGACTCTTTTATATTTATTTATTTATTTTATTGTTGACTCTATTGCAGATGTTCCCTATATCTCCCCTTCCCCTTTGCCTCCCTCCTTCTTGCCAGTGATTCCAAATCTGGTGATACCAGGTTGCAGAGGCCGGAGCCAAATGGCCATACTTACTGTTGTTGCTAATAGGATTGACAGACTTAGCAAATAAGGATGCAGGTTATCTAGTTAAATTTTAATTTCTGATAAACAATGAATATTTTTTCAGTTAAATACGTCCCAAATAGTGTCATATTTTCCCTGCAACCCTAGTTGTTGAGAAGGAGCACATGGCTCTCTTTTTAAACTGGTAAGGCCTTCTGAAACTTTGGCTCCAATCTCGAGATGTTTTCAGATGGATGCTTGCATAATTTTATCATGAATTTTTCCCCAGGGGTAGGACGGTGATCTTTCCACCTCACAGGTTCTCTTTATTATCTGTTTGCTAACTGGCCCACTTCCATTTAAACTCTGGGCTGGTATTTGTCTAAGAAGTCTTCCTAGCCTGTCAAATGTCACCTGTGTGTGTCAAGGGCCAACTCTCAGGTACACACTGGTGGTGGGCATGGAATATTGGAGAAAATAGAAAAATAGCCAAAATGAATCATCTCAAAACTTATTTTGTTTATATTATTGTTATTTGTTATTATTTATTATTATTTGTTAATCCTCACCTCAGGGATATGTTTCCATTGATTTTTTTAGAGAGAGGGGAAGGGAGGGGGAGAGACAGAGAGAGTGAGAAACACTGATGTGAGAGAGACACATTGATTGGTTGCCTCCCTCATGTACCCTGGCCGGGGCTGTGATTGAGCCTGCACCTCAGGTATGTGCCCCTGCTGGGAATTGAACCCAAGACCCTTCAGTCTGCGCTCTATCCACTGAGTCAAACCGGCCAGGGCTATATTATTTTTAACTCAAACTTTTCTCTATTTCTGGGATTTAAAAAAAATTAAATATAGTATTTCAGGTCAAATGAAAGTGCAAAACAGAAAACCAATGCTAGATGCAGCCTGTCAACAGATTTTTTTTAAAAGTGCTCCAAACACAAATTCAACTAAAAATGTGTCCTCTGGTGGCTGTGGAGAGAATTAGCAGTTGGTACAAGTATCACTCAGGAGCTGGCACCTCGGATATCTGGCTCCTCTAAGAGTCCCTTAATCAACCTAAATTCACACCAGCTCTGATGTTATGAGCATTTATACATAATATGGTCACTTTAAAAACTTAAGACAACCCAATGTGTTCGAGCAATTCTTAACATTCTAGTGATTCCAGTAATTTAACAATCAAAACCAGCTGAGGAAACTTGGCAGCAGAACCAATGCTGGGGAAAACCAACCACACTCCAGATAAAAGTCCGGTTTATGCATTCAAAATAGGCTCTTTCAACAGGATTTCTGACTTAGAAGGCCCCGTGTTACAGCTTTGGCACAGACAGCTCAGTTTCTACGGGGAACTTATTCTCAGGGTAGAAAGGAATTAGCAGTGATTGTTTTAAGTGAAAATGATTTCTTTAAAACTCCTGTCTGGATGAATACACTTGTCGAGTTTGAGGAGTCTGTCTTATTTACAATTAATGCAGCCTTTCCGGTTACTACACTCTGAGCCTAAATCCCTCATTTACTCAGTTGATCTTACGGTTCTAACTGGCTGATCAAGGTTGCAGATGCAAACTCTAAAGACCAGTTATCTTCAAAAAGAGGAACCGCGTTCAAAGCCCAGGGTTTGCACCCTTTAAGCTCAGCTAGTTTTGTTGTTTTTAATTGGGTGACCTACATCTCCATGAGTAACACACCAGAGAGTAGATGAAATGGTAAACCATCTAATACCAGAAAAGCAATTCCAAGAAAACATTTCCACTTCCCCTGTCTGACCACATCATACTGTATCCTGGCTCCCACCCCGTAACTTCGGAGAACCTGCAGAGCTGGCCATGACCTGCTATGGCTGGCCCGCCGCCTGGCTTTAGGAGCCGTCTTTCTGATGTTTCACTGCACGCCGCACTAGTGGCTATCTTCTCCTAATTAAGACACATCTTTCCCGTTGACTTTCATAACACGATTCCTTCCATTTCTCTCCAGTCTCTTTGGCTACTCTTGGTTCCTCTCATGGATTCTTATGCCATGACCTTACCCTTGAAGGGGTGACCCAGGGGCCCACTTCAGACATCTCTGGCTTTTTCTAGTCATTTCGACTCATTACTGTGGTCCAACTTCCACATTCCTACCTCAGCTCAGACCTGCTCCTGAGTTTCAAAACGACAAGCACCCACCGAACATCCACGCCCAGCTTCAGAACACTCTCCCACAGGCCTTGCACCCCAGACTCAGTGTTATTCCCCCCAATGGGCCCCGCTACGGTGTTCTGTGCCAGTTGATAGCCTCCTCCCCTACCCTGAGGAAGTCATTTCAGCTCCATCCTTACTCTCTCCCTCCAACATCCACCGCCCTCTCCACTTCTCCAAAGAGCTCTCAGCCTGCTCCTCCTTCCTAGTCCCACGGCTACACCCTCGGCGGTGTGGGTCCCCCTCCTGACGCTCAGGTACCTGTTGCAATACCTGCACTTCTTTCCCCAGGAGCTCTCCATTCCGGGCCATCCTCCGCACTGACACCACACAGCTACCACATGAAAACAAAGCTGTGACCGTGTTTCTCCCCTGCTGAAACTCACCGACAGCTTTCCTTGCTTATAAGGTAAACTCTAAATGAAGCGTGGATCAGCAGGCCCTTCCCAGGCTGCACCCAAAACACAGGTTCACCTTGTTTCCCAGCACGCCTTTCCCTCCGAACCAGAGCAGTCTTCCTGCCCCTCTCCAGACTCCCCCCTCTCCCATTTGAGACCGCCCTAACATTGCGAATGCTGTTTCCTCTGCTTACGGATATTTCCTTCTCTGACTGACAATACCTTGAGCACCTGTTAATAACCAGGTTAAACACCTATTCCCCTGGGAAGACTTGGGAACATTTCCTTTACTCTGGCAGCCCCCCCCCCCACACACACACAGGGCAGATCCCCCTGAAAGAACAGAACGGGACTGATAGCTGTGTCCCTGACCCCTCTTCCAAGAAAAAGCCACAGAATGTATCAGTTACTCAGCCCCCCCTTAAATCAGCCAATGGGAATGCAAAGGGAACTAACCCAAGGCCAAAAGTATGCTGACCACCCCCTGTCTTTGTGTAACCAGACCCTAGCCACACCCTGCCTTTGCGTCACTAGCCCCTAGCCCTCACCCAACCAATCAGAAGTATGCCCCCACCTCCCGACCCCAAGCCCTATAAAATCTTTGTTCTCTTGAGACTCGGGGCTCTCTCACATCCTGACGCTGCGTCGGTAGAGGCAGAGGGACCGAGCTTGAGCTTGAATAAAGACTCTGCTTTTGCATCGGACTCGGCTCCCTGGTGTGGTCCTTGGGGATCTTGAAATCTGGGCATAACACCCCCTCCACGGGGGTCCCCAAGGCTCTTGCATGTGCCACTGGGTTATAATTTTGCTTAGAGATCAGATCAATGTTTACAGGCTACAAATTCCTTATAAATATTCTCTTGTGTCTATATGTTCCCAGTGCCTGGAACAGTACCTGGTGCAGAGTAAATACTTAATGTTTGATGAATAAACTCCCAACAGTTAGAGATTATCAAAAGGGCAATAACACATGCTAAGGAGCAGTTTGTCATTTATTACTGGGATATGAACCATTAACAACAGGACGGTGATTTAGTAACTCACTGTCTTATTGCTTTAAATTTACCCTGTAACTTGTTGCACTCAGCACGCCTTACCCCCTGCTCTCACGCACCCACATGGGGCATACACTTCTGCAGGCCACAAAAGGTCGTCAGTCTGTCTGTGTTTAGTAGACTGAGGGCTGTCCTGACAGGACAAGGAATATGCATGGAGTCATCTCTCATTCTTACTTAAAAGGGAGCTGTCAGGAAAGTCCCACTGAGTTTTTAAAAGTATTGAGTTTTGCCGAAACCTGTTTGGCTCAGTGGATAGAGTGTCGGCCTGCGGACTGAAGGGTCCCGGGTTCAATTCCGGTCAAGGGCATGTACCTGGGTTGCAGGCACATCCCCAGTGGGGGGTGTGTAGGAGGCAGCTGATCGATGTTTCTCTCTCATCGATGTTTCTAACTCTCTATCTCTCTCCCTTCCTCTCTGTAAAAAATCAATAAAATATATTAAAAAAAAAAGTATTGAGTTTTGTAAGAATGTTTATTTAACCAAAGTTTGTTTTCTAGGCGAGAATACCTGGCGCTTGTTTTCTAGAAGGGCTGCCTCCCAAGTCCACAGGTCACACAGCACAGCAAATCTGTCCACTCCTGCATGGGCCCATCCCAAGACCTGGCCAGCATTTGACTTGCTGCCCTCTTTGTGACCTGGAAGAGAAGTGATGACAATGACCAGAGCCAGACCTCTCTCCATGAAGCTGTTCCTATTAGAAATGCACCCTCGGATTATCAGCTTTGTTTTAGGAAAGAAAACGGAATGGCAACTGGTTTCTAAATCATTAAGGAGCCATCAGCAAAGACAAAGCCCAAAGTTCATACTTGTTGACTTAGTCAACAGGGATTCTTGTTTGCCTTTACAATTTCAGTTTTAAAGACTAATTTTGGAAACACAACCAAATTCAATTAACATAAAACCTTTACTAAAATATTCTCAAACCTGTAATTTAAAGGCAAAACATAATTTTTTTCTTTTCTAAAACCAGGTTCCTGGTGGTTTAAAAACAAACCCAGTTCCACCTGCTACTTCAATTGATGTTAGCCAAGTCAAAATTTTCAGAGAAGTTTCTAAGATATTATTTAATTACATTAATCACTAACCTATATAAATAAATGTAATCATTGTCATTATTCAGCAGAAATATTTGTCCAATATATTAATGTTAGTTTTCATTATCAGCATTATTATTGCTTTAAATTTTTAAGTGATCGATTTCAGAATGAAATACTTAACAGTAAGAGCTTTTCAGGGGCTAAAGTTTGAACTCAATAATTATCAGGTTTATGATGGCTACTGAACACAAGAGAAAGACTTTGATCAGGAGTTTTCCTAGCAGCAGTTGGAAAATCATGGAAATCATCACCATGAATGACTGTATACCAATTAGCTCAGCTAAAAGATTTTCATGGAGCTAAATGACTACTACGTGTTTCAATCCAATTAAATTCTTAGCAGCTGGAAATAGTTGCATGGTATTATAAATTATTATCGACAAAAGTGATGCATTCATATGTAGGATAACCAGTAAAGATAAAGGCTAAGAGCTGAAATCGAATGCCCTGGAATGTTGGATGCCATTGCTGCTTCCCGAGTCAGATCCCAGATGGTCGGTGGCAAAGATAGGACAGAGAGTTCAAGCCAATAGTGAATTAATTCTGCCTAGGATCTGAAAGGTTAATTGTCAAACAGTCCTCAAGCAGGATTTTATAACAATGTGAATATGAATGGTCTTTAATTATAGTCTAATATATTACAAAATAGCATAAACTCTTGCTATCTTTCCTTTAGGTATTGCAATATATCTAGAAACTCTTAACTTCTTTTCCAATGTAATGCTAATGCTGTCACATTATTTCAAAAGAAATATTCTTACCGCACCTATTCTAAAATTGGATACATTTGAGTAGTGCCAGAAGGAAGAGCGAATACAGACTAACGGTTATTCAATTACCCTGAGTAATGGTTTCTCCCTCTGGGGCTTGTCTGGCATCTTCTGAGCCAGATCTTCTCGCATCTAGTGGTTTTCTGTTATGAACCCAGGGATGTCCCTGTTTCTAACTGCAGTTTCCCAAGGCCAATCACATTTTTTTTTGTTACTTAGAAAAAATTGATTTCATGGCTTCCTTTGCTTCCCTCGGGGCCCTGCATGACATTCTCTGCACCCACTGGGTGATGCAGAAATGTCACTGGGCAACGAGTCTAAACAACAGTAAGAATTATAACCAAACCCTGAGAGAGTAGTCAGTCTCCAACAAAAGGGGCACTTAGGCTGACACAGAGCCCTATCTTTTCTAATGCGGGTGTGTGTTGGGAAGGTGTATGTGCTTATTGAATTAGTGCATTTATATTTTGAGATGGGGGTTGTTAAATTAAGCCCCTAGTGTTTTTTGTTTGTTTGGTTGATTGATTTTTTCAGATCTGATTTCTGACCTTTTTCCTTCTCAATGTAATGGCTGGCCACCAGCAGCAGTTCTGCCTCTAGTTCCTTCAGGTCACTCAAGGCCTCGTCATACATGACATGCACCCCTTGCTGGTCCTGGGTGTGGACGTAGCCAGCTTCAGTGCTATAGTAGTCATCCTGGTTCTCCACTTCTGAGAACTCCATGAATTGGGTGCCATGGACCTGCGTAAACAAAGCCAAGCCTGGAAGTGAGTGGAAAAGGGAGAGCTGTATTTTTCCAGCCCAAATGGCAGACAGTAAGTAGACTTCTTCTCCCATGCACAGAGCTATAGACATGCTGAAGAATCAAGAGCTGTATGTAGAGAAAAAGATATTAGCAAAGTATGTTGGCAGAAAAGGGAAGTTTCTGATGTAGATAAATAGCTGAGGAAGTGTTCTGATTAATTTAGGATTCCCTGGGAAAAGGCAACAGAGCCAACCGAGCTTTAAAGGTGGTCTCTGAAGTCACAATGCCTGAGTCCAAAATGCCAGGATCTCACCTTGATTAAGTCATTCATCTGCCCTTAGCCTCTGTTTCCTCATCTGTAACGTGGGAACAGTAGAGACACTACAACAGCTGTTGTCAGGAGTATGTGACACTGTGCCTAGGAGGCACGTGAGACCTATAAATGTTAGCTGCTAAAGATATCTTTGTTTTCATCTTCTAAATACTTCTAAAATGCATTAAAATAGTCTCATGCCTTAGTAATATACTGGATTGAATAGTGTCCCCCCAAAATACATGTCTATCTGAAACCTGTGAATGTCACCTTATTTGGAAGTAGAGTCCTTACAGATGTACACAAGTTAAGACGAGGTCATACTGGATTAGGATGCGCCCTCATTCAATGACTGGTGTCCTTATAAAAGGACAAAACTTTGGAGAAAACTGCATAAGAGAAAAGGCCACATGAAGACAGAGGCAGAGGTTTTAGTGATGCATCTGCAGGCCATGGAATGCCAAGGGACCCCCAAGGATTGCTGGCAACTCCCAGGAGCCAGAAGGGTCAAGGAAGGAACTTCTCCTGGGCCTCCTCAGGGGCTGACCCTGGTGACTTGAGGCTTGTCACCTCTAGAACTGTGAGGGAGTAAATTTCTCTCCCGGTTGTTGTGAGCCACCCACTTTGTAGTGCATTGTTATGGTGGCCTTAGGAAACTAACATTATAAGTAATTTGAGGACTCCCATCATAATTTTGTTTTTCTTAGATGACTGAGAACCTGTTGCTTTCTGAGATTCATCCTAATGATAATCCTCATAACTTCAAACTTCTCCATTCTTCTCAAGCCTCTGAATTCACTCCTCTCCCCCATGCCCAGCCTCCCTAAATCTCAGCAGAAGCCCCTCCACCTCTACACACACACACACACACACACACACACAGTACATTCACACCCTCCTCTCCTGCTTCTTCCTGCACTATAGTGGACGATTCTCCTCCCCTTCTCCAAGGTCTTTCTCTTCCCAGCCCTCCCCCCTCTGAAGCATCCCTTCTCCTTCTTGGATATCCAACTCCACTCAACCAGATATTTTCCAATTGACACTCAGACATGCTCATGTCCCTCTCATTTTAAACCCTCACACCCTTCCCCAGGTTCCACCTTATGACTTTCCTCCTCATGGTCCAACCTCCTAAGATGTTCTCTGTACTCACTGTCTCCATTCCCGTACCTTCTACTCCTCCCCCATTCCCATCTGGGGCCTATCTCCATCAAGCCACCCAAACCCCTTTTACCACGACCAACAATGACTTTTTTTTGCACATCCAGCAGGCTTCCTTTCTAACTTACATAATCTCTCAGGAGCATCTGACACAATTCAGCACTTCCTGCTTCTTGAGTCACGCTCTTCCTGGCCTCCCAGGACTTCACATTTTCCTTGATCTCGCCAACTTTCCAGTAGTCCCTTCTCTGGTGCTTGAGGTGTATTTTTCTCTATCATGTCATTAAATAGCGGCCATACTCAAGCCCTAGTCCTAGGACCTCATCTTTTCCTCCCATATTCCTTCCTCAAGAGACATTACACTTTGACAGCTGAGATAACCTTCCCTAGACCATTTGCTCCCCAATTTATATTTCCAATCCAGACTTTCTAGAGCTCCAGACCCACATATCCAATTACTTATTTGGCATCTGTTCCTGGGCATCTCAAAGGCCCCTCAAATTTAACATGATCAAATTGTGTGATCTTCCCCCGCCAACCTAGGCCATCTCCAGCATCCCCATTTTCGTAAGCAGCACCACCCATCCACTTCCTCTTGCGTGAATCACTCCTGATGTGTCTTTCTGCCTCACCCTGCATGTCCAATTTAGTGCCAAGTTCTGTTGATTTTACTTCCTATCTCTCAAATCCATCTACTTCTCTCAATCCCACCGCCCACCACCCTGTCCAAGCTGTTATTATCTTTCACCAGGATTAGTTTAGGAGCGTCTAAACTGGTTTAGCCTCTAATTGTTCTATCCACATTCCTCTGGCTTTCCCTCCCCTCCATTGTACTCACTGCTGGCAGAGGATCTTTGAGAAATGCAGTTTTAACTGTCCCTCCTCCTTCCTTTTAATATCCCTAAAAGGTATCCCTTTGCTCACAGAATAAAGCAAAACATCTGAACAGGGCCTACATAGTCTATTTCTCTCCAGTGGTTCTCAGCCAAATGTGATTTTGTTCCCCAGAGGACATTTGACCATGTCTGGAGACATTTTTGGCTGTCACACTTGAGGGGAAGTGCTACTGATATCTAGTGGTTAGAGGCCAGGAATGCCACTAAACATCCTAGAATATTTAGGACAACCTCCCATAACAAAGAGTTATCAAGCCCAAAATGTCAATAGTGACGAGGTTGAGGAACTATTGACATTTGGGCTAGTTTCATTTTGCTTTATTTTCCACGTGGATCGCGGTGTCCCAGCCACTCACGTCTTCTTTTGGGTTCTGTTGGGTGCCATGCTCCCTCCCTTTGGCCATAGGTCCTTTGCACAGCCTATCCCTATCCATGGAAAGGTCTCCCTCCCCATTTTCCTGGTTAAAGCCTTCATCTTCCAACCTCAGCTCATCATCACTTTCACAGGGACCTCCTCCTGGCTTCCTCAGCACCAAGTTATCACTCTTTTGAGGCATTTACTGAGGTTGCTGTTTTACATTTATTTGTGTGACTTTTGACTAATATTTGTCTCACCCACTGAATTATAAGTACTATGAGGTTAAGGAACATGTCTAATTTTGTTTATTATTATATCCTTAGTGTTTGGCACAGGGCCTAACACCTAATGATTGCTTAGAAAATCTATATAATAAAAGCATAATATGCTAATTAAACCAGATGTCCTTCTGGACATCCTTCCTTCCAGACAAAGCTGCAGTGGGCAGGGGCCAGGGCCAAGGCTCTTGCACAAATTTCGTGTATCGGGCCTCTAGTATGTAAATAAGAGAATGGATGAATGGTTTTTGATACGTTTTGCATATAGACTTCTTTTAGTCTGTCACATGATCCCAACTTGTACTTTTAATATATACTGTAAGAAATAAGGCGAGTCTCCAAATTCAGGGGTCCTGGTAGAACACAAAACATACTTGGGAGCCAGACAGCGGGGCAAGTATCTTTCCTCCTGCAGGAGGGTGCGCAGCACATGGTCTGGGAGCACATGCACACTGAGCAGGTGGTCTGCTCGGCCTTTTAATCCTGACGCATGTGACCTGTCCCTCACTCTTGATTGGAGCTCAGGTGCACAGTCTTTCGAGATTGGCAAATTCAAAGGGAGGAGTTGGCCTTTGCCGTTTCAAGATGGTGGCCCCCAGGGGAGCTGCAAGTCATGTGGCTAAAATGGCGGCTGCCAAGTCACATGAGCCAAACTGGCAGCTGCCTTAACTGTTCTTTGACAGAAAAGATGACTGTTTATTCTCACATATACCAGTCAGAAGTACTGTGTTTTGTCCTTATAGACTCTCATCTCATGTCATTACATCCTAATGCATGCATTCTCAATGAGGGTGGAAAGTAGTTCCTGGGAGGCAAAAAAAAATCTTACTCTTTTAATGTATAAAACATAGGCATACATACTGTACACATATATGGCATATCTCTGCTATTAATATTTCTTTGGAAAAGGATCATCGGGGAAAAGTATCTAAAAAGAGTTCTTTGGGAGGCAGCAATAATAAAAAAAAGGTTAAAAACATGTGGCCTACTTTAAAAAAATATATATATATATATTTTCTAAATGATAAAATACACATAACATATTTACCATCTGAGCCACTTTTAGGTGTACAGTTAGGGTGGCGTTAAGTACATTCACATTGTTATGCACCTATCACCACCATCCATCGCCAGAACTCTTTTTATCTTGCAGAACTGAAACTCTGTCCCATTAAATAATAACTCCCCCTTTGACTTCCCCAACCTTGGAACCACCATGCTATTTAGCGTCTCAGCTAGATGACTCCAGATACCACCTGTAAGTGGAATCATATAGTGTTTGTCATCTTGTGACTGGCTTATTTCACTTAGCATAATGTTCTCAAGGTTCATCCATGTTGTGCATGTATTAAATTTTCCTTTCTTTTTAAGGTTGAATGACATTCCATGTGTGTATATACATCATATTTGTTCATCCCTCAGTGGACACTTGGGTTGCTTCCACCTTTTGGCTATTGTGAATAATTCTCTATAAACAGAGGGGTACAAATATTTCTTTGAGATCATGCTTTCAATTCTTTTGGATATATACTCAGAAGTGGAATTTCTGGATCATATGGTAATTCTATTTTTACGCTTTTGAGGAATCACCATATTCTTTTACATCAATGACTGCACCATTTTACATTCCCACCAATAGTACACAAGAGTTCCAATTTCTCCACAACCTCTCCAACACTTGCTAATATATATGATATATATATTCTGATTTTCTAAGTTGTTATTTATGAGTCATTTTAGCTGTGGAACCAATGGTTCCCAATATTTTACCCCCCAAATTTTACCCCCCCCATTTATTCATTCTTATAACATAAAATGTTTGCTAAGTTAAGTAATTGATTGTTGGGTACAATCCATTGATTTACAAATTTTAATAAGCAGTCATATCTTATCTCTGAATAGACCTGTCAATTGGTTTGTGTATGTGGCATTGCCTATTGTCTAACTACGGGAACTTCTCTGCAACCTTCATATTCAGGGCAAAATATTATCAGCATGGATAGTTAATTGTCAATATCAGAAAGGTGGGTGAGGGGTACTCTAGGGGTCCATTCAATCCCATGCTACTATAATTAGATTTAATGTGCTGTTATAAGTACACCAGATGATGACATACTTCATTTCCCTGAAGACTACTCTTTAATGAGTTGCCCATTCAATTATAGGTTCTTAATTATTCAAGCAGAAACGTAGAAGTTTTCTAATAAGTAAAAGGATGAGCATTTCTAAATAATAGCTGTGGTTCGTGTTCCATTAAAAGGATATTTCATAGTTAAGCATTTCTCTAGTAGGTTGTTATTTTTGTTTACTTTGCTTTTGGCTAGTCTTTAGATATAAAACTTTAAAAATTAGGAACTTACTTTGGCTAAGAGTTCCAAAAGTCAAAGTTCTGTTTTTTATAGAATGATAGGCACCAATGAAAACAGAAAAGATGCTGAGAAATGACATGCCACATACAAAAATCAAACAACTTGTTTAGATTTATAAACTAGCATGTTGGCTTCTGTTGGCATTTAGCACTTATCATCTGTTATGCAAAATGAGCTCTCCTTTATCCACTTTACTGGAAAAGACCTTTCCCAAATTCTTGTACAGGGAAATTTCATAAGATGTAAAGAAATGACTACTGTATTAAGTACTGAAGCAGATGGAAAGCAAAACGTGTTAAAACACTGACTATAATGCCATCATCTATTTAAATGGTCTCCTTTTCCGCTCTCCCCACCCCATCTCATTGCTCAAGCCCTTTATGGACATGCATGTTCCTTCTCCTTCCCTCTCGCAGTTCCTGTCTCTTAAATGTATGCTTATGTCCAGTGGAGAGACACCTTGAAGACCAGATGGCCAAATTATTTCGTACAAGGTTATGACTCAGTTGTTATCATATTTCCTTTTAATTTTAATTTCTTCCTTGGCCATGTGAAGGACCCTTCTTATAAAGTTTTAGTGGTCAAGAAAATTGATTCTTCAATATTACGCTTAGAGGAGTGGTAGGAAGGGGAAGACAATAATTACCTGTTTGGGCAAGAAGTAATCTGGTCTTTGGAATGATTCATATGGTTGTAAGTCTGCAAAATAACTGATGCCAAGATAACTATTCGAGTACAGTAACTATAGGAAAATCGGTGGCCCATCATTCATTCTTTTCACTCTATTGGTTGCTGTCATCACTTGTTAATATGAATTTTAGGTTCTGATAATGTAGACACTATTTCTCTGACTAGCTTTTTCTAAATCATCTTTGCATTAATTTCAGCTAATAATAATCTAAGAATTTCACAAAAAATTGTTAGGTGAATGACTCAATCCATTGGCTATAATCTCAAATACTTAAAAAAACTTTTATTACTTGCAGAGTATAATATTATCATAACGAATTGTTTTTCATTTGAACAGCATGATATACTTGACAAGACACTTTTATGTATATTGTCTTTTCGTGAGCTCTCAACCAGTCTGTTAATGTCCAACAAACATTAATCAGATACCTAATATGTGAAAAATATATACAGCAGGTCTTCAATTGACACCCTTTTGTTATAACATTGATGAGATTCTTAATTTAACTCTTGTTTTTGTCAATTAGCCTGTGGTAAACTAGTTTCATTATACACTAGAGGCCCAGTGCACGAATTCAATCATGGGTGGAGTCTGGCCGGCTGGCCTCTATCATGGCCAATCAGGCTGGGTAGGGGGAGGGGATGCGGGTGGTTGGAGGGCTGGCCCCGCCCCCAATGGGGGCGGCAATCAGGGGTGGGACCGGCCAGGGGGAAGGGCTGCAGACAGTTGGCCAGCTGGCCCTGCCCCTGGTCAAACTCCTGGTCGAATGGACAATTTGCATATTAGCCTTTTATTATATAGGATAGTTTCACTTAAAGTCGTAAAACCTAACGAGGATGATAAGTGAGAACTTACTATACATCCTTTTGCTGCCTGAAGCATCTAAGAATTTTCATGTCCTAAACTGAGATCCTGGTATTTCCAACAAACCTGCTCCAACCACATCTTAGATGGTGGCAACTCCAAACTTTCATATGCTCAAGCCAAAACTTTTGAATCAATTTTGACTTCTCTTTTTCTCTCCCATTCCACTCTCTTCTTCCTGGAAATCATACTGGCTTTACCTTCAAATATATCCAGAATCTGACTATTTCTCCCCATGCTGTCTTCTCAGACACTGTCTCTAGTTTGATAAATGTAATAACCTTCTAACTAGTCTCTGCTTCCACTCTAAAGTACTGTCAGTCTATTCCCAATACAGCAGCATGAATGTTAAAATGTAAGTCAAGCCCAGCCGGTGTGGCTTAGTGGTTGAGTGTCGACCTAGGAACCAGGAGGTCATGGTTCGATTCCCGGTCAGGGCACATGCTCAGGTTGTGGACTTGATCCCCAGTGTGGTGCATGTGCAGGAGGCAGCGATCAATGATTATCTCTCATTATTGATGTTTCTATCTCTTTCTCCCTCTTCCTTCCTCTCTGAAATCAATAAAAATATATTTTTTTAAAATGTAAGTGAAGCCACATCCCTCTTCTACTCAAAACTCACAAAGGGCTCCACTTCTCATTCAAAGTTAAAGTCAAAGTCCTCACAGTGGTCCATAACTTGTTCCCCACCACTCCAATCTCTCTAACCCTATTTCCTGCCAATTTCTGCCTCATGCACTCTACTGCTCTTAACTCCTTGCTGTTTCTGCAACACTGCCAGACACTGTTGTGCCTCAGGGCCTCTGCACTGTCCTCCCCTCTACCTGGCACTCTTCTCCCAGTTAGCCACGTGGTTTGCTTCCTGATTTCTTTCAGGTCTTTACTCAAATAATACCTTCTCAAGAAGACCTTCCATGATCACCCTACTTATAACTGGAACAGCCCATCACCAACCTCCACCACTCTCTATCCCCCTTTTCTTATCATTTTTTTTTCTGTAGCACCTAACACCATTTTTGTTAGTCCAGAAAGGCTAGGTTATTCTCTGATAAGTAACCCCAAGGCTCAATGGCCTACAATTAAAATTAATTTCTCACTCATGCAAATCCTACTGCAGGACTAGTTGCTTTTAGACAGGTATATTCCAGCAGTGATCCAGGGATCAGGATGTTTTTATTTTGTAGTCTGAAACATGCATTCCATTGCCTGCAGCAGGGGAATAGAGCTAGAGGGTCATAAACCAGTTCTTAAATGCTCTGGACTGGAAATGACACATGTCATTACTGCTCACAGCTCCCTGGCCAAAGCTCACCACTAGGCCTCATCCAACTGTAAGGGGCCAGGATGTCTGGGAAGCTTTGGTGCCAAGCCATCTGACATTTTGTATATTATTTATTTAATGTCTGTCTCTTTCCACTCAATAGTCCCATAATGGCAGGGATTTGTGCTAGTTTTGTTTACTGCTGTATCCCCTATGCCTAGTATTTTAATTGGTCAGAACATTTGTGGAATGAATAAATGAGTGGATGAATAAATGTCAGCTCCCCAGGCTGGTGAGCCCAATGATTTTGCTCCCAGTAGCCTCGGCCCTGGGCCTGGTGAGACCAACCCAACAAATTAGCATCTGTGCCTCCCATCCCCTACATGGGGAAGAATCACATAGTTAGATCTGGACATTCTAGTTTAAAAGCTGACAAGGCCACACACATGGAGTGCAACCAAACCACATGACCCTATTAAAGACCCTGTAAAGGTTACTTCCTTGAGATTCTCGTGCTAAAGTAGTAGCTGCTGGCAGCTTCTATGGATGCGGTTGTTTCTAACATTTATGACAGCACAGGAAAGAAATACTGCATTACCCTTGAGAAGCTCCTCCTACAGTCAACGGGGAAGGATAGGATTTGTCTCCCCTCTTCTCCTTCATTTCCATGAAGTGAAGCCTGTGTATGGTGAGGGGGCTGGGAGGGGGGTATTTGTTAGCAAAGGAGACCAAAAAGAGAACTCTCCTAAATACTGAGTTGGACTGTAGGTGACTGGATGAAAAAAATTAAAAAAAATGTTTTCTTTCTTTCTTTCTTTTTTTTTTTTTAAGAAAATGTTTTTCAATATCTAGAGCTGAACTGTTCCATATAATAGCCTCTAACCACATGTGGCTATTGAGCACTTCAAATGTGGCTTGTCTGTGTTGAGATGTGCTATACATATAAGGTATACACCAGATTTTGAAGACTTAGTACAAAAAAATGTATATCTTATCAACAACTTCTTTATATTGATTATATGTTAAGGTGACACTATTTTTGATACAGTGGGTTAAATACATTATATTAAAATTAATTTCATGTTAAAAAATAAAATTAATTTCATGTCTATTTATACTTCTTAATGGGTCTACTAGAAAATTTTAAATTATATGTCTGGCTTGTGTTATATTTCTTTTGGAAGTGCTACCGTAGACTCTGTATATTAATGACAGGGGATCGTAAGATTTCACACCCTTACAGACATGTCAAGTATAAGTCAGGGTTCATACAAGCTTAGAACATGACTTGGTTTGGTAGCTAGATTTAATTTTCCACATTTGTCAACCTAGTATCTTTAAGAAGATAAAATTCATATTTAATCCTACCTTCAAGAATAAACTTTCTAGAGATTGAGATGAAAGTAATGCAAGAGTATCTACAATAGTCCAAGAAAACACAGGCATTTTCAACTTTGCTCCCAAAGGAAGGGATTTAATATGAACTTTGTAGACAACGTAAAATACACTCAAGAGAGAGTAAAAGCACCAAGAGGCAAACGGGTTTTTGGAGGGATAAGAGATTCTTTATTGTTCAGCTTTTTCAAAAAATTTTCTACCTTTGTTTTTTAATCTATTTTTTTTTTCATGTAGGGCTTGGAAAACAGACACTAGGCAAAAAGGTACCCCTTGCAATGCCAGGGAGGGCCTTACAAGAGCTGCTCTGTAAGGACATGTGGCTTTCGGGCAAGGGTAACAGAAAGGGCCCCTCGTGCTCTGTCTACCATAGAGTCCACACACCAGCAGCTGGAAAGTTTTCCTTTGCATCGTGCCCGCCAGGGCTGCTTTTAGAATGCTCTCTGCCTGTGTCCTGCTCTCCAGTGGACCCAGCATTTTATTGCGGTTAAAAAGCCATTTCCCTTTTCACCACATTTTTTAAAAAATCCTTTCCATAAGACACCCCCACCTGTTACTCCATCAAGTTAACTGATTGCAGGTGCCTGGAAGAAGGGGGCTTGGGAGACAGGATAATGGAGAAAGAAAAAATTGTAGCAGAACACCTTACCTTGTGCTCGGCAGGTGTCCCATGGACATAGTGGTGAGCTCCCAGGCCTTGCAAGGTGCCCGAGCCTCCTTTTGCCGTATTTACCCAGGAACTCTCTTCTATGGTGGGGACCAGGCTCCCCGCGACCAAGGTAAGGCCTGAAGTGTTGATCGTCAGCGTCCGCTCCACAGATCTGAAGTAGTTCAGAATTCCTAAGCAGATGCGCTGAAACAGAGAACAGCCTCAGGACTTGGCCCTTCGCTGGCCACGCCTAGAGCAAAACTTCGAGTGGGGCCCTGGAGGTGGGCAGGTCCATCCTACTGCTGAAAAAGGAACACGCCACCCCCAGAAAGGCCCGATTTCATGGACAAATCAGAACAAAGAACAAAGTGTAAAAATGTGTTGCTCCTGGAACAGAAGGAAAGCCCCACTTCCAGACAACCAAGCATTTCAGACGCCTGAAACCAGTGTCCACGGACCTGCAGCTCCCTGATTCGCAGGTGGCGCAGGTACAGAAAGGACAGGTAGGCCCCTCTCCTTAGGACAGGATCCTCATCACTAGGCCCAGTCCCATCATCCAGGCCCAGCAGGAGCAGGGCCCTTGCGTAGTTGTACCTGTAGCAGGCAAGAAATATGGAATAAATGCCTTTCATCTCAAAGTGGTCTGGAAAATTCATATACACCAAGTTGAAGTCACTTTACTTAACTTAAGAAAGTTTCATAAAAGCCACTCTTTAAAAATTACACCAGCCGAACCGGTTTGGCTCAGTGGATAGAGCGTTGGCCTGCAGACTCAAGGGTCCCAGGTTCGATTCCGGTCAAGGGCATGTACCTTGGTTGCGGGCACATCCCTACTGGGGGGTGTGCAGGATGCAGCTGATCGATCTCTCTCATCGATGTTTCTAACTCTCCATCCCTCTCCCTTCTTCTCTGTAAAAATTCAATAAAATATATTTAAAAAATAAATAAAAAATAAAATAAAATTGCACTGAAGATAAAGTAATTACTTTATATGTATAAATATAGAAAGACATTTCTCTTAGCAATCCCTCTTGTTAAAAGTGAAACACTAATTTAGCAGTTTGCCTGCTTTCACAGTCTTGTTTTTATTTCAGCTTCACATATTTTAGAGTTAACATATAACCTCCACATCGGTCAGTCACTCCGTGTCCCCGCAGTGTTGAACCCATCTCCGTGAGTCAACAATGAAATGGTTTAGCTTTACCCGGTCTCTGTTTCCTGCTTGACAGGCTCCCCGGCCCATTGATGGAGACTTATTTGCGCTGGGCGATTTTCATTTTGTTCCATCAAAAGGTCATCTTTCTTCGTGTTTTCATTCTGTCAAAAAAGTGGCATTAGTTGGATTACAAAAACACTTGCAATATTATTAACAAATTCAGAGTTAAGTCATCACGAAATTAAGTCTGATGACCCAAGACACATTTAGATGAAAACTAGAAAAGCATTTTGATCCATTTCAACCTGACATGAAAATCTATTTCTAAAATACATCAGGGATCACTATTTTAGTATTATTTAGTCTTTGTTTTACAAAACTATTCACAGCTTTTAAATATCAGCCATCCCTACCCCCCTTTTTCATGTAAACCTTCATGGTTATGATGAGTTGATACACTTCTCTAGTAGATGTTTGGAACCTTGAACCTCTAATCCAGACTTGCTCCAGGCTAAGAGACATCAGTGGATTAAACTCCTCTTTCTACTTTTTAGCTAGTGTATGATTTAACCACTTAAAGTCTTCATCCTATTTTTGCATTTGTAAGATGGCATGATAATGGAAAATAAGTTGCTATGAGAAGTAAATGACAGGATGGATAAAAGCTCAGTGCCTGGCACCTTATAGGTGCTCATGGGTTCTCTCCTGCCCATGGGTTCCAGTAGTCAGCCAGCCCTGTAGGATCTATCACAGAATTCATGGTGTACTCTTATTTCTTTTTTTTTTTTAAATAGCAAAGGTGGAAATTTATTGAAGAACAGGTACAGGCTCCCATGTGGGGAAGGGGAAAGAATCTCACAGCACAGACTCCCACGTGGGGAGGGGGAAAGAGTCCCTATACACTTATTTCCACATTCATCTTTCCTGATGTCGGGATGAGGTCATGCACCCAGGGCCTCTAGGAAAACTGGGAAGAAGGTGATATTGGTGTATGGTCCTGCCCCTGGCCCTCTGAGCAGCCCCTTTCTTAGTGGCCCTCTCTGCCTGTCTTTGGACACAACCCCCATTCCCAGAAGCCGTGATCTTTCATAGTGACACCGATCCCCTTGAGAACATTGAGTGGCAATGGCTGAGGTTGGAAGCCTCCACCCCCCCACCCCCCGCCCTTTGGGTTACTTATATTCTAATTTTGGGTTCTTAAAATTCCAACAATGGTAGAAACTACTGATTGTTCCCCAAGATCCATTGTCTTCTTTTCCCACGGTAATGTAATATCTATCTTGGCACATGGCCACCCAGATAAAGATGACATTTCCAAGCCTCTCTTGCAGCTAGGTGTGGCTATGTGACTAAGTGCTGACCAATGGAATGAACGTGAAAATGCCACATGGCAGCTTCTGGGCATTTCCCTGAAGTGGCAGCTTCCCCACCCCTCGTCTCCATCCTGCTGCTTAGCACACGAACGTGACAGCTGAAGCGTCATCTCAGACCAGGGGTTGATCTTGAGTATGGAAGGTACATTAGTTGGAACTTCAGGATAGAAGGAGCATGGGTCCCTGAGGACCCCACGGAGCAAAGTCATCACACCAGCTCTGTACTGCCTACTCCTGGATGTTAACTTGAGGGAGGGTAAGAAATTTTCATATCCTTTAATCTTCTGTTATTTTGTGTCTAACTATGACCAACAGCCAACCTAATCTTAAATAACACAATCCCAATACTCTAAAGATAAACTACCAGTCTTTATGACAGGCAGCGGGAAGAACATTTGGACAGGGATATTAGCAAGAGCAGGGGAGAGAGAACGCTGTCTAACCAGATGTCATTAAGTGGCTTCCCACTCTGCCTGTGGGTAGAAGGTTCTGTCTGTTCCGGGTTAGTGTACACGTCAGTGTATTTCTGTGTAAACGTCCCACAACCCTAGGACCGGAAAAGACCTTGGAAGGTGCTGTGGTACACCCCAGTTCCTTAATACAGAAACACAGGATCATTATCCCAAAATAAAGAGAATGTCTGTTGTGGTTTTTTTCATCTGTAGGAAAGTACATAGTCCATGAAGGGAGATGAACTTTGACAGTTGCTATTTGACCCAGAATTTGGGGTGAGAGGCGCTCTAGGGAAGCCCTTTGCCTCCCAGCCTATGGCACTCTGGTGTTGCAGTTCAGCATTGCCCAATGTGTGTGGCTCCAGAGGGCCCGCTCAGAGCCGCAGCCTTTCTCTGATGGCACTGTGACATTTTCAGCTGTTCCTAAAATTACCCAGAATTATATAGGAAAGAACAGAAAGTGACATAAATTGCAGTGAAAGAACTCGAAGGAAAGACTGAACAAACCACAAAAGTACTGCTGGGCCAGCAGATTGCCAGGAAGGGAGGAAGGGGGCACAACAGGCTAGGGTGAGTAAGGCCAGCATCTTCCAGGAAAACAGAACCAACCACAGCCCACAGAAGGAAACTGCTTAGGAAAGGCCGAAGTCCATGAGTGTATTCCCCTAAGAGAACTGGACCACAGTGCAGATTGGCGGCACGGCTGACCAGAAACAGAACGTCAACACCACCTGTGCTCATCCTGTCTTCCTGGGGAGGTAAATCCTTCGACATCTGCTCTATCTCATAACTGGGTATTTGTCAGCATGGTTGAGTTCACATATGTTGACAGTTCTGAGATTGCCACTGATTGCAAATCTCATTTTCTTCTGGGAAATTGGCAGTGGTCATGAAGTGGAAGAAATAATAAGAGGGAAGATAATTTTATTCTGTATTCCTCTCCTCAACGTCTCTGCAGCTTACTTGTGTATATCCACAGAATAAAAAGACTAGAAGGACATACACCAACTGTTAACACAGTTGTTCTATTTAGGTGATAAAATAATGGGTGATTTTTATTTTCTTTCTTTAACTTTTCTATATTTCACAAATTTACTATGATAAATACATAGCACTATTGTCATTAAAAAATGGGTGTTTGTTTTTAAATGTTCTATTAAATTTGATGAGGGAAACCAGGAAAAGGTTGTTTTGTGTTTCCCTGAACTTCTTGCACATTGGAGCTCCTGTAGACAACACCACTTCTGTGAGAGCACATCACATACCCACGACATCACATTGTCTCTGGAGGTGGAGGGGAGCGTAGCAGAGATGGGGAAATGGCTGTCACCCCTTCCCTCCTTGATGTGGCCAGTGAGAAAAAGCAAAAGAAGAGGCAAAGGGTGTAGTATTTCCTGCCACTTCACTGCTCCATAAAGTTAAAGAAAAAGCACCATTTTAAACCATATCTTTAGAAATACAATGGTCAATAGTAGCACTTAATGTTTGTACACTAGATAAACATTTTAGTAAACATGTGTTTTCTTGGTGAATGACACTGGACACAAGTAACCCGATATAACAGAATTACAGATCTGGAAGGATTCACACAGGTCTAGCTGGGCCATTTCTTCTGGTCAGGACTATAATTAAATTATTTTACTTACCTTTCCCCCTCCGCCCCAAGAATATCCAAAAAGTGCAGTTCATTTGGACCAGAATTCTCTCTTTCTAGTTACACATTATTTTCAATTAACAATTATAAGTAAATTTGATAGTTTTTTCTTCATCATCCAAACCCAGATAAGATTTTTACGCAAGTCTGGAATTAGAACTGTGATTGAAGAAAAGAGTGGCCAGTCTTTGATGCAAACGGTAAGTAATGCCCAGTTCAAACTGTGATAAAAACATTACAAACATTATTAATGTTTAGATAAACATTGCGTTAAAATGGATGTGGGAAACAGGTTCCCTCATAAGTTGCTGGTTGGGGAACAAGGTATACCACATTGACAGGACCTATAAACATTTTGAATGTGCACATTCTGTGAACCAGAAAATCCATTTCTAAATATTTGTTCTAATAAAACACACATTGCACAAGGAGGCAGGTATAAGAAAGTTTACTAGTAGTAGGCAGGGTTTCTAACAAGGGGGAAAATGGCAACAAGGTTCCATAGGGAGCCAATATGTGATCTGCAGAATACAGCAAAATATAATGTAGCATTTAAAGAGAACAGGAGAGACAGGTCTCTAAAACATATTGTTGGGTGAAAAAAGCAAGTTACAGAAAGATATCCATAGGGTATGGCAAATGGCTAATATAGAAACTGGATTGTAATATATATATTAGAGAGAGAGAAAGAGAAAACATCGATGTGAGAGAGACACATTAACTGGTTGCCTCCCACACGCTCCCCTTAGTGAACCTGCAACCCAGGTATGTGCCTTTGACTGGGAATCGAACCCATGACCCTTCAGAGCACAGGCTGATGTTCTACCACTGAGCAACACCAGCCAGGGCATACTCTCTATTCTTTAATGGGGACATATGTATGAATGTAAATGTATTGAAAAGACTGGGAACAATAACAATGTTTACCTCTGAGGAAGTGGAATGGGGACCAATATTTGAGTCCCCATTAAAGTTAAAGCATTAACTTTTCAGTGATGTCAATTTTTATATGGAGAAAAATTATTTGACATTTATTTATTACTTCTGTAGTTTAAAATTAAATTTTTTAAAAAAACTACTTGAAGAGAAAAATAGTAACTCTACAGTAGATAAAACTGGCAACCACGTGATCAAGATTAACATCCCCAGAGATATCATGTTGATAGCACCTGCCCCTGATATGATGTGACAAGAAGGGCACTTCACCTCTTGGGGTGTTCTTCCCCCAAACCTATAACCTCAGTGTAACCATGAGAAAAAAACATCAGACAAACTCAAATTAGGGAACATTCTACAGGTTGCCTAGCCAGTACTCCTAAAGACCGCGAAGGTCATGATAAACATGGAAAAACTGAGGAACTGGCTCAGACCTGAGGAGACTGGGGAGATGTGAGAATTATGCACAGTGTGGTACCCTGGATAGGATCCAGGAGCACAAAAAGGACATTGATGGAGAAAACAGCAAATTCCAATAAAAGTCTAGTCTAGTTAACAGTAATGCACCAATGTTGGCTCCATAGGTGTGACAAATGTACCATAGTAATATAAGATGTTAATAATAGGAGAAAGGGGGTAAAGGAATACCTGGGAACTCTTTGTACTATCTTTGCAACTTTTCTGCAAACCTAAAACTATCCTATATATGCAAATTGACCCTAACAGCAGAACGACTGGGAATAACTGGTCACTATGACACACAGTGACCACCAGGGGGCAGACGCTCAATGCAGGAGCTGCTCCCTGGTGGTCAGTGCACTCCCACAGGGGAGCTCTGCTCAGCCACAAGCCAGGCTGATGGCTGCCAGTACAGCAGTGGTGGCAGGAGCCTCTCCCGCCTCCTCAGCAGTGCAAAGGATGTCTGACTGCAGCTTAGGCCTGCTCCCCGCTGGCAAGTGGACATCCCCCGAGGGCTCCTGGGCTGCCAGAGGGATGTCTGACTGCAAGCTTAGGCCTGATCCCCCGGGGAGCAGGCCTAAGCCAGCAGGTGGTCATCCCCCGAGGGGTCCCAGACTTCGAGAGGGCACAGGCTGGGCTGAGGGACACCCCCCCTCCCGAGTGCACAAATTTTTGTGCACCAGGCCTCTAGTTCTAAAATAAAACTTTTATTTTTAAAAAATTCCCTAAACGAAGGTTACTGGTGAACAGTATTCACTGAGAATTGATCAGAAACTGTTCTGAAGTTGCACCACAATTAGTGCTTACCGTCTCCCAAATAGGACATTGAACTATCAAAATGGACAGTCCTATGGGGTTTGCTTTCCTTCATGCAGATGTCCCTTAAGACAGTTATTTTTCATGAGGGATTGGTTTTCGCTTGCCAACTTCAGAATCAGGATGCTCACCAGCATATAGATGCTAAAATTCATACTTGACTGCTACAGGCTTGCAAAATAGTAGCAGAGCTTTAAAATTCATACCTCACTCCTGTGACCCCTCCCAGCAGCCACCTTTTACTTAACCCTCATCTCCTCTGACTAGCATTCAACATTCAGAGTGGCAGCATGCTACCACTGGTGCTCTCATACTGTGTAGAGTGACTCTACCAAAGCGGGAGAAATGCTTGAGGAGGTCACCAAGTAACACCCACAGGAAAATGTGAAGCAAAGTGGAAAACTATTGGTTCCTGCCTTAGGATTTCCTTCCTTAAACCCTGTGCTATTTTCTTTTTTAAATATATTTTTATTGATTTCAGAGAGAAAGAGGGAGAGATAGAAACCTCAATGATGAGAGAAAATCATTGATTGGCTGCCTCTTGCACGCCCCCTACTGGGGATCGAGCCCACAACCTGGGCATGTGCCCTTGACCGGAATTGAACCCCGGACCTTTTAGTCCCCAGGTCGGCGCTCTATCCACTGAGCCAAACCAGCTAGGGCGCTGTGCTATTTTCTGTTCCCTGCTTGGAAAGCCTTTCTGCAGCCCGTTTGCATGGCTAACTCCTTCATTCATCAAATTTCAGCTCAGATGCCCCTGACTCTGAAAGATCTTGGCCCATCTCTCTACCTGTGGGTGCTCCTCTCTGCCCCATTGCCCTTACTCCTGTGGATTTCTTCATGGCACCCACAAGCTAGAGATGTAGATTTTCTTCTTTGTTCACTCATTTATTATGTGTTCCATTTCCAGAGCCCAACACAATTCCTGGCACAGAGGTAGCATTATGTAATGATCACTGAATGAATGAATGAGAAACTGGGGGGAAACTTGCACGACACTAGTAAGTACGGTAATTTGTGTGTGTATATGTCTCCCCTCTTGCTCCACTTGTAGAACCTATAGGTATTCTAAGTCTCTTTAGGGCCTAGTTACCATGAACCAACTTGAAAATACAGCGCTCACATTTTTTTTCCCTTTGATCAATTCCAAGAGCAACATTTACAAGTCAGAAAATAGCCAGGGGAAGTGGTTTTCTTTCTTTCTCCTTTTTAAACATTTGGACAACTGCATTCAAAACAGATCTGACGAAAGCACAGACTGCCTTTTATTAGTGCCCCGACTTTCCATCTCCCTGCAAAGGGAGGGAAACAGTAGCAGAGAATAAGAAGTTCTCGCCACTGTGTGGCTGGGCTCCTCACACTGTTGCTCTAACTTAGTGCTTTCTGCCTCTCAATGTTTACCTGAGCCATCACCTCCTGCTCTCACTATGCACCTTCTGCTTTTCACCGACACAGTGACCCCACAGAGGAAACCTCCTTCGTCCCCTGAGTACCCCTGGGCACTGCCGCAACTCTGTCCGACCACAGCCTGGACCTCAGCACTTCTCCGTGATTTCAAACATGAAGCTCTTCATCTCTGACTCCATCTTCCATTGCCTCCCACCTCTCCCTCACATTCACCTCCCTTCACCCTCATTTAGCCACCAGGAGTTTAATTTTCTCTATCCTCTCAGTCAAGGAGGAAAACAAATATGTGACGAAGACCCTCAGATGTGAATACCAGAGCTTCCCAGATAAAGGAAGATTACATCGGCATCAAGAAACAGTCTGTCCAGGATGCCAGGGGCAGAGGTCTTATTCAGAGATACCTGGGCTGAGTCTGCTTTTTCCCTTTACCCCCCACCCCACCCCCCATCCCCTACTCCCAACCCTCTTCCCCTTCAGTTTGGTTCAAGAAGTAGAAGAGCCAGATGTTTTTAAGTGTCTCCTTGTTAGTACAAGGTCTTCCTGAATGGTGACATATACCTGATCATGACATGACAATAGGATAGGGAGAATCTGGCTGTTTTCTCAACTCCGGCTAGCCGAGGAAAAAAAGTCACTGATGGGTGCACGCACTATCTGGGAATCCAGGGGCCAGGGAGAGCCATGGTGTGATATGCAGCATTTCATCCTGATCTGTGTGGCTATTTTTTCATTCGATTTTCTAGATCCTTGTCTAAACAGATTAAAAAGTTATAGAAGTTGTGGTGTGTGTGTGTGTGTGTGTGTGTGTGTGTCTGCTTCCAGACAATCTGTAACTCATTAAACCCATTTCAGGTTTCTCTTTCTCTCATAAACAACCTGGGATGGTGGATCATGACAGTGCTTCTCTTTCTAGAATTCTACTAAACTTCTCTGTGCTTCCGACTTTATGTATCATTTTTATTCACTCTACAGTTGTCTTCAGGGGCAAAAGTAATAGAATTATTACTCAGAGTGGGCTCAAATGCAAATTCATGCCCCCTTACGTCAACTGGGCCCTCTTAGCTACATGGTCATCCTTATGCGTTCCTCTCTTTGGTGACTTTTCCCACATTGATACCTGCTCACACACCACGCTCACCTTCCAACTCACTAACCTGAACATCTTCCTCTTCCTCTCCCTCTCACTCTCCAAGGCAGCAGGTCATCCACAAGCTCCTGCATCGTATCTTTTAGCACCAGAAAATTCTACGTGCCTCATTCACCTCAAGGGAAGTGATGCCATTCTCCCTTTCTCAAAATTACTCCTCCACTTGATTTTTTCACCCCATTCCACCCCTCTTTCCCCAGGATCATCTGTGTCTCAAATTTCCTCTTTCATATCTTCCATCTCTTCTTCTGCACTGCTCCTTCCCTTCAGAATATAAATAAACACACTGAGTTTTCTCATCTTAAGTAAGCAAATGAAACAAAACTCTTCTCTTATAGAGCAACAAACAATAGCAGATTATAGCTTCAAAATGCTATTGTACAATTGTAAAGACAAATATCCACTAGGTTTGAGTAGAAACTCCCGTTCCTTGCCAAAATTCATGCCTATCCTATGTAGTAGCTACCTAACTAGTTCCCTGCCTTCAATTTCTCCATCTTTCAATCCAATTAACACCTGACTGCCATGTTAATCTTCCTAAAAAAATATAGCGTTGCATATAATATTTGCCTTCCAGGATGAAGCACACATTCCTTATGGAACTTACATGCATCTACTACAACCTGCCCTCTCCTCCCCACTAAAAAAACTTCTCTTCACTCTATTTCCACATGAGTCTTCCACTCCACCAAATTTGAACACTCCACATAGTCTCTCTTCTGCATTGTTGTTCATACTTCCCTCCTGGAATGTGCTCCTACTTCCCTCTCCACCACCCCTTCCCTTAACCCTACGCTTTCTTCAAGCCCAACTAAACACCAAATGAGTTGGATGGTTGATAAATATTGTGAGTGTTTAGACAGAAAGTGGTCCTCACGGGGTTGGTTCTATTGAGAAAAACCTTTTGAAGGAGGAGGAAATTGAGGGTTTGAAAAACTATCAAAGTAAATTTATAAGGTCTACTCATAGGTGGTGAGTTGAACAGAAAGGTATATTTGATATTTCCCCCTGTGGTACCTGGTAGAGGTTGGTGTTACTATAAATATTCTCCCAGATTCGGTCATAGTTGCACTGATGCAAACCCTGGGAAGCCACGGAAGTGGGATGAGATGGAGCCAGCAGGACTGTCTTTGCAGCGTGATCTTGGAGCACTTGCATTACTCGCTCGGGGCTGGAAATCTTGGGTAGAACACAGAGGAGAAGGAGTGGTTGGGAGAAGGGTTATTCCCTTCTTCTCACAAGAATTTGGTTGTGTAAACATGAATAAGAAAGAAGCCCCAGGTGAGACTTTATTCAGTTTTAAAAAATCATGATTGCCTTAGGTATATTCATCCATTCAGCACCGTAAGTATTCAAATACACATCAGAGCACATTTAAAATTCTGTTACAACTCCCTAAGTACAAGTGTTGTGGCACCAATGAAGCACCTATCCATCTGGGGTACAAACTGTCTGCAGTTAGAAAGCTGCCAGGAGATGGATGAGGAGGAAGCAGCTGGGTGTCTGAGGAAAGCACAGGCTTTGTAAGGACACGGACCTGGGCTTGCATCCCTGCTGGAATCCTGTCTTTTTAACACAAAGCAGGACAAGTCAACTTAACAAGGTCACTAATGATGTCTCTCCCAGGATCTCTGCAAAAATGCCTGGCATGTAGCAGGTGCTGAATAAATGTCCATTCTCCTCTTCTGAAGGTAAAAAAATGGAATGATAATTCCAGAGCTAACTTCTACTTCAGTGATTCACATATTATTGTATTTTAATCATTTTACGATCACTAAACCTCAGAGATCATTTAGGCTGATCCCTATCAAAATCTCAATGGCTTTTTTTTTTGAATAGAAAAATTTATCCTCAAATTCATATGGAATCTCAAAGGACCCCAAATAGCCAAAATAATTTTGAAAAAAAAATGGAATGACTCACATTTTCTGATTTTAAAACATACTACAAATCTACAATAGTAAAAACAGTGTGGTACTGTAATAAATTACACAGACCAGTGGACTAGAATACAGAGCCTAGAAGTAAATCCTCAAGTATATAATCAAATAATCTAAGACAAGGGTGCCAAGACCACTCAATAGAGAAGGAACAATTTCTTTAACAAATGGTGTTAGGAAAACTGGATATCAACATACAAAATAATGAAGTTGGACCCTTATTCTCCACCATATACAAAAATTGGCTCAAAATGAATTAAAATCTAAATATCAAATCTAAAACTATAAAACTTTTAGTAGGAAACAGGGTAAAAACTTCATGACTTTGAACTTGGCAATGATTTCTTAGATATGACCCCAAAAGCACAGGCAAAAAAAAAAAAGTGAAAGTGAAAGTAGACAAATGTCACTACATCAAATTTATAAACTACTGTGCATCAAAGGATGCACAATTAACAGAGTAACAAGGAAACCCACGGAATGAAAGAATATATTTACAAATTATACATCTGATTAATATACCCAGAACATATAAAACACTCCTACAACTCAACAAAAACAACAACAACAACAAAATACACAAATTACCCAATTAAAAAATTTGCAAGTCTGGCCAGTGTGGCTCAGTGGTTGAGCATCAACTTATGAACCAGTAGGTCACATGTCGCATGTCCAGGTTGCGGGCTCGATCCCCATTATGGGGTGTGCAGGAGGCAGTCAATCAATGATTCTCATCATTGATGTTTCTATCTCTCTCCCTCTCTGAAATCAATAAAAATATATTTTAAAAAAATAAAAGAAGAGCATTCTGACATATTCAACAACCTGGATAAACCTTGAGGACACTATGGTGGGTAAAATAAACTAGTCAATAAACAAAAAGACAAATATTATGATCCCACTAATATGTGGTACCTAGAGTAGTCAAACTCATAGAGACAGAAAGTAGAATGGTGGTTGCCCGGACTTGGGGGAGGGAGGGAGGAATTGTTTAGTGGGTATATAGTTTCAGCTTTGCCAGATGAAAAGAATTCTGGAGATGGATAGTGGTGATGGTTGCACAACAATATGGATGTACTTTATACCACTGAACTGTACACTTAAAAAGGGTTAAAATGGTAAATTTAATGTTGTGTGTATTTTACCACAATTTAAGAAAAAAGGAAAAAATTAATATAAAGGCAGGCCATGTACCCTTTAGTTCGTTTCCCTCAATGTTAACATCTTGCAAAACTACAGTACTGTACAGTATCACAACCTTGATATTGACATTGATACAATCAAAATATAGAGCAGACCCATCACCACAAGAATCTCTCCTATTACTCTTTTGAAGTTACATTCCTTTCCCTTCCCCACCATCTCTCCTTAACCTGTAGAATTCATGAATCTGTTCTCCATTTCTATAGTTTTGTCATTCCAAGAGTGTTGTGTAAATGAACTCATACAGTCTTTATAGGATTATCGTTCTTTAGCCATTCATCCATGTTCTTGGGCATATCACTAGTTTGTTCCCTTTTATAACTGATGGCTATTAGTTTAATAGGAGGTACAGATTTTCAGTTTTACAAAATAAAAAATTCTGCAGATGTTTTGCAACAATGTGAGTATACTGAATACTACTGAACTATAGAATGGTTAAGATGATAAATTTTATGTTAAGTATTTTTTTACACAATAAAAATGAGATAATTTAGTCTAATCGTGTTGTTTCACAGATGAAGAAACTAAAACTTGAGGAGGTTATATGACTAGACCAATATTATGCAGAATCTAAAGTTGGACTATAATCCAACTCTTTTGACAATCGTTACTGTCTACTGAAAGCTAACAGGATTATAAAAGTTTGGTAATTAGATTAGAAAGTCCCAAACAAAGCCTTCACAGTAAATTCATGGCTAGCACTTTTAAAAGGGAAAGAAAATTCCATTTTTCTGAGAACAATTTTAGTAAGAATTTTATCTATAAGAGAACATGGTTATTTTCTTACCTTCAAAAACTTTGCTTGGAGTTGCATTAATACATCTATTCTTCTCTGTTCTTTTAGTTTGGTCAAAAGCTTCTTTTGCCAAGGATCACATTTTGGCTTAATCTAGTGGATAAACATGTTCACATAAAGTTACAACATAACACAATGGTTCTCTACAAAAGTTGCAAGCAAAGAGATTCAAGGACTTTCTGAAAAGGAATCTGGCCTCAGCGCTAGAAAGTTTACTAGAGCATGTGAAGTCTTGGAAAGGGTCTGTGTGGGCTCACAACACTGTGGAGGAAGACAGCTGGTGCCTGTCTGTGAGATGCAGTAGCTTCATCTGGGATGACAGAGCACCATCCATGAACAGAAGGGACCCTGAATCCCTCAGTGTTGGTC